TGATTTGTGTCAGAGGAGTTATTAAAAACTTCGTCATATTCTTGTAAAATTACTTTCGGAATTTGTATTTTTACTGAATTTGATAGTGTATTTGCTGCTTTTACGTATGCTTTACCATTATTATTTGTGACTATAGCGTTTCCTATGTAAACTCCAGGTTCAGTATTTAAAAGTGGAACATATCCTTCTTTTAAATTAGAATTTTCAACAAATAAAAATATGTCAGATATTGATCGAGGTGGGAGAGTAATAAAATTTCTTGATGCGAAATAGAACATTTTTCCTTTGACTTCTAAACATTTTTCAGCATAATTAATTTTGACATTATTATCTGTAAAATATTCTGATCCTAAAACTCCATCTTCTTCTATGGGAACTTCATTAGGTATTATGTTAAAAGTTGTGGGATAACCGAAAATATTTAATTTTGTTTGTCCTAATGTGTGTACTGGGTGTTCATTTATACCTGTTAATTGAATTTTCTTTAATTTATTTAAAGTCATTGTAGAATCAAGCATTTTTTCTTTTAAAAGATTTAATCCTGCTCCTGTATCAATCATTAAATGAAGTGGTTTAGAAATTGTATTAACATAAATAGATGGTATCATATTTCCTTTAGTACAATTGATTTGAATGGTTTCTAAATGTTCAGATATTTGCTTTTTAGGCACGCTTTTTCTGTTAGCACCTGTCCCATCGTACCCGATATGGGAAGGTATTATTCGTTTCCCTGGTTCATTAAAGTGGATGATCGATACTGTTGACCTTGATTATAATTATTATATTCTCTTTTTCTGCAATTTTTAATAACATGCCCACGATTTTTGCAATATTTACAAGTAACATTAAAAAATCTGTTTTGTTGATTAGTACGGAAATCATTTTTATTTGGAAATTGTGAGTTTGTTCTATTATGTAAATTTTGGGGAAACCCCGAAAATCGTAATTGTAAAGGGGAATGCTTTTGTTCACTAAACGAGGGGGACATCCCTCTTCTTAGATAATAGACAGGTGGTCTCTGCTTCATGCGGAATACGGAGCGCTGGTACCTATGCTGTGCTGAGTATTGATTTTTTTCTGACCTACGACAAGTGCGTGAAGTATGTCCTTCTACATTACAATTTTGACATACTACTATATCTGCACTAGCAAATGTAATTTTTGCATTATTTGGCCTACAAGAATTTTCTTTTCTAAGCTCTACAACCGCATTTAATTTTCGTTCTGCCTCTAATGCTTTGTTTGTTGTTTCTTTTAAAGTTATGCAATCTGGAATTCGAATTTCTAATTCTGGACGTAGCCCTCGACGAAAACAAGATATTATATCTACTTCTAAAGTTTCTAAGATTGTTTTGGATAATTTACCGTCTTTACTCGATAATCTGTATGAGTCAAAAATCTGATCCGATAATTCTTTTACTCGATTCGCATACGATATGACACTTTCACTTTCCTTCATAAAAATATTTCCTAACTCTCCTTGCAATTGATAGATACTTTTATTTGGTAAATATATCTTCTTTAAATGAGCTTCTAACTCCAAAATTGTTTTAAAAATATTTCCCGATATTGATTTTCTAACTTCTCCTATTAACTTTCCACGAATTAATTTTACTAAATTTTCCTCCACTTGGGGTGAATCTGGCAACATTAATTTTGCTTCATGGCAACCTTCTATAAATGAAACTACTGGAATATTTTTTCCATCGAACACAGGCACTAATTCTAACGCGTCGCGAAGAGATACTTGTTGATTATTAGGTAACGACATAACTAAGCTTTTTATTTCACTTTTGTATCACTTTCACTTAGAATTTTGATTTGTGTTTATGAGTGTACATAAAAAAAATTAATAAAGAAATTTCTAGATTTGTTGGTTCAAGGATATTTTTCTCTCTCATTTATATATTTTAAATTATTTAAGGAAAAATGATTTTTTTTTTTATTTCTCTTTTTTTTTATCACAACAAATGATGCACCAAAAATTATACTGTTAATGCATCGATATTTATATTATTAGTTTAAATTCTCTTTTTTGTTCACAATGGACAATACACCAAAAATTATATTTTTAGTGCATAGATTTTAAATTTATATTCTCTTTCTTGTTCACAACGGACGATACACAAAAAATTATATTTTTAGTGCATAGATTTTAAATTTATATTCTCTTTCCTGTTCACAACGGCCGATGCACCAAAAATTATATTTCCTCTGTTACGTCTCAAATAGAGAAATAACTAAAGAAATAATATTTTATTTTATTTGTGGCCGCTCGGTGATTCAGTGAATTCCTGTTTCATTTACAGAGCAGAAGGCTCTGAGCTAAGGGTACAGGAAAGAAAGAGAATAGTGATTTTTAATGACAAGATTACAAATTTATTTAGACAAACATTTAGAGTTATAAAATTGATCTTTGAGAGAGAGTATCCTGAAGCAACCATTCTTGAAATAAGGGGAAATCAGCATTCCACTGCAACAAGGAATGTAAAGGTTACTACAAATTTTTATAAGGAATTAGGAAGGATTTAGATAAAAAGTATTACAACTTACCTTGAAAATTTAGATGTAAGATGTATGAAAAAGGACCACTGTTGTGTCCTGATTATGATAGGAACTTCTGGTACCAGATATAGTTTGAGAGCTCACAGGAAGGTTGACGGGCCTTGGTGATGACCACAGGTCCGGAGTTCAGTTGATTGAATCAGCTCTTCTTGACGTAGAAATTTTTAACACTTGACACAGAGATTCTTCTAAGTCGAACTTGAGTATGAAATCGAGCAGAGTAACAACGCTTGTACTAGATTTCGTATGTGAACTGGTACCGTGTATGATGAAAAGTTCTGAACTGGTAGATGTTACACGTATGAAGATGATTTGAGAACCGGCGGTATCGGTGGTAATTTCTGAACTGGAAGACGTCGACTGGTACCAAGAATGAAGTTGATGTTAAACGTATGAAGATAATTTAAGAACTGATTTCTCCATAAAAATGTAGTCCTTTTATATTGAATATTCATAAGAGAATATATCTATATATTTTTCACCCTAATTTTTCATAAGAGAATATATCTATATATTTTTACCCTTTTTTTAGAAGCCGATGTCGAATCCTTCTATATAAGAGAATAGTGCTATATATTTTTCACCCTTTTTTTTAGAAGCCAAAGTTGAGTTCTTCTATACTGAATATTCGTAAAACAGTAGTGCTATATATTTTTCACCCTAATTTGGAAGTCGATGTTGAGTCCTTCTCTCTCAGTTAAACGTTAAAGAAGAGGGTTCTTCTAATGTGATGATACCACAGGTGTTCGTTACATGGGGGGAATTAAAAGATTTCTCGCTTTTATTTCTATGTTTTAGAAATACAGTATATAGACATAGGAAGATACAAAACGCAAGGGTCATTTATACATTAAGTCGCGCGATAATGGGGCGGGAGTTTACATAAGAGAAAGGCATTTAAATGCGTAACAAAGGCACGGGTGTTTGTCGCAGAGACATACAATTCGGTATTGATTAAAAGAATTCTTATAATTATGAATGTAAAAGTTACGGTGACGTGACAGTAATAAATCCCTAAAATATAAACTCATTAAAAAAATATTTGTAGAAAGTAGAGGGGGTTGAAGTTTTGACGTTAAGGGTAACATTGTCATTTTCAAATCCATATAACTATGATAAAAGTTAATGGATTTTAATTTATCCATAATGAATTTTTATGCATTTTTCACGTACTTTTCAAAAATGTATACAAAATTTAAAAAAAAAATTTTTAACCCCTTTTTTTCAAAATCAACCCTTATTTTTCGATTTTCACCCCTTCGGGTATTTTTTTTTTTTTTTTTTTTTTTATTTTCATTGGAAAGCTGAGGTTTTTTCCCATGAGCTATGTAAATATGAAAATGGGACAACAATAATTTTGTGAGAAACAGAATATTAATGTAGGCGGTGCCGATAACGGGTATACCTGAAGATCATCTTCGAGGATTTAGGTAGGCACCGCCTGCTTTAATATTCTGTTTCTCACAAAATTATTGTTGTCCCATTTTCATATTTACATAGCTCATGGGAAAAAACCTCAGCTTTCCAATGAAAATAAAAAAAATAAAAAAAAAATTCCCGAAGGGGTGAAAATCGAAAAATAAGGGTTGATTTTGAAAAAAAGGGGTTAAAAATTTTTTTTTTTAAATTTTGTATACATTTTTGAAAAGTACGTGAAAAATGCATTAAAATTCATTATAGATAAATTAAAATCCATTAACTTTTATCATAGTTATACGGATTTGAAAATGACAATGTTACCCTTAACGTCAAAACTTCAACCCCCTCTACTTTCTACAAATATTTTTTTAATGAGTTTATATTTTAGGGATTTATTACTATCATATAGGACAACAATTTACCAAAGTATGAAGCCAATCCCAGAACATTGACTTTTTGGGCTGGGGCGATTGAAAAAGAATCTCTCATATACTTGATTTAACACTAAAAGACGTCAAGAAAAATTTGATCTTGATGCGATATCATTTGTGGAAGCTACGTGTTTATTTGTGAAAATCCTGTTTTTTCTAAAATGTCTCAGTTCTGTTTAAAACACTGTTTCAGATATTAACTGTTTTAAATATTTATTTATGTCCAAAAAATTTTTTTGGTAGTGTTTTAAAGTGTTTTGATCCAATGAAATTAAAAAAAATCCAAATTTACTGTCTTTTTTTGATTATTTTTCATAAAAAGAATTTTGATAAATAGTTAAATTTTTTTTTTAATTTTCCGCTAATATCTCGAAGGCATTGCAATCCACAGCAAAATAATGTATTACAAAATTGTAGCTAAATAAACAGGCTTTCCAACGATAGTATTCTTTTTCCGATGCCAGTTTAAATTTCACGGCTAGATCCAAAAATGTCTTACCTACCTATCCTTACCCCATCCTCCTCTAATTTTTTTTTATTGGTATCGTAAAATAATTACAAAAAAAAAAAAAAATGAAATCCTACCTGATGTGCCCAAGTGATAAAAAAGGCAACTGATTTCGTTGTGTCATAAGGGTACCAGCCATCTAATGGCAATTTTTTTTCATTGCCATTTAGAATATCAGTTAAAGGAATAAATGACCAGAAAAAAACAGCAAAAAATGCAAACATTTGATAAACACCATAATGGAATAAACCCTGCCAAGCATACCAAGACACTATCTTATCGTATCTAAAATAAAAAATAATTATTTTATTTATTTATAAACATTTATTTTTATTATTTAAGTTTTTTAATTATTTATGGGTGATTCTCCGCGTAGCGCACAACTTGCTTTTTTTCATGTTGTGAATGAAAAATCACAAATAATATTCACATAATATTTCGATTCCAATGTAAAAAGGTAATTTCTGTGTCTACAAACAAAAACCAATAGTTATTTTTGTATTTAACATTATAATTTTTCGTGAAAAGTGGTTTTTAAGGCTGAAAACGTCAAAATTTCACCTGTCCCCACAGGATGTTTAAACAAAAAAGTTAATATTTTTAGCAATGTGCACTAATAAATACAATTTCTATTGCTATTTTAGTATTGTATATTGTAATGGAATTGAATAAAAAAAACGTTTCATCAAAAAAAAAATTATTTTCTTTTTTTTTTGCTATTTATACTTGACTGCACTTTTGTGTGTTATTCTGCGTTTTATTATTAAACATTGAATTATTTAAATAAAAGTCAAATGTTAATACAGTTCTACTTCAGTAACAGCAAACGTTATATTCCTTAAGTTGATCCATGAAGAAAATAATCAATTTTCTAATTGATTTATCCTTTTTTTACACATTTTAAGATTCAAATTTGTACAGGGCATCACAGAATCGTCTCCACCGGCATCCACCGACCCTTCAATATTATTTTAAAAAAATAGAATATAATTAAATAATAAAGGTTAAATAAAGTGTAGTTATATTATTTTAGTCTATATATGTGTGAAACATATGAAACCGATTAAAAATAAATGATAATTTTCTCAAAAAAAAAAAAAATATTCTTAACATCAGTTCCACCGGTTCGACCGACCCCAGCGTCTCCACCCGCAATAAAATTTCGACCATCACTAGTCCAAGTTTAATACACAATGAAACAAACGTAATTCAAAATATTTATTATAAACTATCATAGCTCCGGTGAGTTTACTATAACTTACCAAATAAATTTCTATAAATTACCGTATAAATTTCCATAAATTACCAAAATAAAATTTTTAATTGTCGTTCGCGCTATATATGTTTTTGTAAATTACCGCGGAAATTTCCGTAAATTACAAAAATAATAATTTTTAATTGTGATTTATGCTTTACATATTTTTATGAATTTTCGACAAAATTTCTATAAATTACCGCATAAATTTCCATAAATTACCTCGAAAATTTCCGTAAATTACCGAAAGAAAAATTTTTAATTGTCGTTCGCGCTATACAGGGTGTTCCAAAAGTATGGAAACTTGCAAATATCTCGAAAAGTACGAATTTTCGTAAAAAATGTTCAATACAAAACTTGTTCCAAACAAAAAGATCTACATTGTTGAAACCAAAAAATTGGGCCCCGGGCCCAATGTTGGCCCTACAATGAAAAAAGTAGTTCTTTAAATGAGACCAGCAATTTTGAATATCAAATTCGTAATCCCCATGAAATTCTGCGTTCAGACATGTGGTATAAGTGCCCAAAATATTGGGCCCAATCCAAGATATCGGGCCCAACAATTTTTCGACAAACAAAAAAAAATTTTTTAAATCGTATCTTTGGGGGTTTTTGGGGTCACAGGATTACAAAATTCAAAGCTACTTTTCAAATTGGGCACAGAGCCCAATGTAATTCCGCGGCCCAATGTAAGGCCCACAGTAAAAAAATTAGTTGTCTAAAATAAAACCCACTAATTTTTAGTATCCATTTCGTAATCGTCATGAAATTCTGGATTTAGTTTTGTAGTACAAATGCCAAAAATATTGGGCCCAATGTTTAGGATTGGGCCCAAAATTTGTTGACAAAGAAATAAATTTAAAAAATTGTATCTTTGGGGATTTAGGGTTCACAGGATTACAAAATTCAAAGCTACTTTTCAAATTGGGCACAGAGCCCAATGTAGGATTCCGCGGCCCAATGTAAGGCCCACAGTAAAAAAAATTAGTTGTCTAAAATAAAATCCACTAATTTTTAGTATCCATTTCGTAATCGTCATGAAATTCTGGATTTAGTTTTGTAGTACAAATGCCAAAAATATTGGGCCCAATGTCTAGGATTGGGCTCAAAATTTGTTGACATAATCATAATCGTTGTGAAATTCTAGTCTCAAACTTGTGGTACAAATTACAAAAATATTGGATCCAATCCCAGACCTTGAGCCCAACATTCAACATTTTTCTACAAATCAATTTATTTCTTTGTCAACAAATTTTGGGCCCAATCCTAGACATTGGGCCCAAATTTTTTGGCATTTATACTACAAAACTAAATCCAGAATTTCATGACGATTACGAAATGGATACTAAAAATTAGTGGGTTTTATTTTAGACAACTAATTTTTTTACTGTGGGCCTTACATTGGGCCGCGGAATTACATTGGGCTCTGTGCCCAATTTGAAAAGTAGCTTTGAATTTTGTAATCCTGTGACCCAAAAACCCCCACAGATACGATTTTTTAAATTTATTTCTTTGTCGAAAAATGTTGGGCCCGATATCTTGGATTGGGCCCAATATTTTGGGCACTTATACCACATGTCTGAACGCAGAATTTCATGGGGATTACGAATTTGATATTCAAAATTGCTGATCTCATTTAAAGAACTACTTTTTTCATTGTAGGGCCAACATTGGGCCCGGGGCCCAATTTTTTGGTTTCAACAATGTAGATCTTTTTGTTTGGAACAAGTTTTGTATTGAACATTTTTTACAAAAATTCTTACTTTTCGAGATATTTGCAAGTTTCCATACTTTTGGAACACCCTGTATATATTTTTGTGAATTACCCCAAAATTCCCATAAACATTTTAAATCAAATTTCAACTATTTTATAGAATTCAACAAGCAAAGAATTTTTTTTTAATTTGTTTAAAAAAATTTAAAAATTATAAAAAAATTTTCCGGCCCACCTAGGATATTTATTTCTTGACACTTTATCTTCAAAAATATATTGTATTGATATTTATCATTTCGATAAAAAAATATTTTTAAAGTTGCAAACATTAAATTGTGCGCTACGCGGAGAATCACTCTTATACAAAATTTTATCTAATGTACCTTATGTTATCTTTGGAAAAAACAGGACTCTCGATAACTGAGATAAGCTTATATATTCTTCGATGATATCGAATAAATGTAATAAACTTTAAATATCAAATTAATTAAAAATATTTTAATTTCACAATCAATAGCTATTTAAATAATATAGAAATTTTCATTATTGATTCTAATTTAAAATCAACAAATCTCTAGTTTTATAACATTATATGTTGTTAATTTGTTATTTTTCGAAATATTATTTAAATATTTGTTTATTTTCTTAAATATAACTTAAAAAATTAAATAAAGTTATATTAATATTACTTTATAGGCGTTCAAAGCATTAGTGATGAATAGAGGACCTCCTGATGCAAGTTTATTGACATCATTATAATTTACGGCAATATTCATGAATTCGACAAAAACATAAATTCCCAAAACAATTAGAAAAAAGAAAAAACTATAAATGAAAAATAAAACACGAGTAAAACCTAATGTTTCAGGTGGCCATGTTCCCATATAACGTAAAATTTTCAAACAAATTTTTATATGAAGATGAGGTCTGATTTTCTTTAAAAACGTTTCAGTTTTATAAATATCCATTTTTTATTGACTTGCTTAAATGAACTTTATATATTTTTTTTAAATCACATTTCCTTTGCGTGTGAAGTTTAACATTTTTTTTTTTTTAATTAGTGAATTTAATTTATTTGTTTTATGTTAGTAGTATTACAATTAAATATATTGTATATCAGAATTAAGAAAACTAAATAAAATAAAATCATGAAAGACTGAGAGAGACAAAGACTGATATCAACTATATAATGTCGAGGATCTTAAAATAATTTTCAGAAGTTTATACTTCCTTGTTGATTTTACTTTGCAGTATAATTTAATTACATATTTCAAACGACAATGTAAAGCTTCTTCCCTATTGCATTTCTGTAATTATAACTTTTGCTATAATCAATATACAACCGTAAGAGATATTTTGCAATTTGTCAAACATGTAATTAATTTTCAACGTTAATAACTGCTTTTGTTTTCGTTATTGATTCTTATTTGTAGAAGTTATATTTACTCTTTAGTCAATGCATGGCAGAACATTAAAGGGTTGAAAAGTTTAAGTTATACAATTGATCTAGATATTATGTTGATAATGCAAAAGTTGATTTAAAAATAATCATAATTTAAAAAGTCAATTTTATTTATCCTTACACTGAGAAAAATAATTTCGTAATAATAAGAAAATAATTTAGTTGAGCTTTTTTAGTTGGCGTTACTAAAATATGGTTGTCACAACAGAATAGAAAGTGGCAATAAATCGGGAAGTTTAGTTGGCTCTACCAAAAAATATATTTGAAGCTTTCATGTTTACGAACTAAATAGTTTGGTTCCCAGTACTAAATAGCTGACATGCTGTATTGCGCACGCGCTCTTCTCGTAAATATGGCGTCGCTTCCCATTCACGGGATGTCAACATTAACCATATGTCGTTCGCGTCGTGAAGTTTCAGTGTTGAAGTTTTTATGTTTTTCAGACATTTTTTTAAAAAAAAAGTTTGTGTAGTGAAAATAAATAAATAAAACTTGTTACAAGAACGAAAGTTTTTTTCCAGCTTTTATACATTGTGAAAATGATTTAATCTCAAATTGTTAGTAGGATTCGTAGAGTAGTGGTCAGCGTTCTCGACTAGCGTTGCGTAGTCTGAGGGTTCGAGCCCCAGCAGTGTTAGGTTTTTTCCGCGATAGAAATTAATTTAAGTAGGCATAGGTAGGATATATAAAGAGAAAAGCTCGGAGAAAAGGGTGAAACAAAAAAATAAGTTGGTTGAGAAAACAAAAAAAAAATTTTCATTTAACTAAATTTTTTGTTTGCTTAAAAACAATAAGTTAGTTGTGCAAAACAAAAAATTTGGTAGACCGAACAAAATGATTCAACGAAAAAATTTAGTAGCCCGAACCAAACGGATTAGTTGCACATATATCAAATAAAAAATTTGGTAGAGAGAACCAAACTTTGGTAGATGATACTAAACATTTTTCTCAGTGTAAATACCTTTATACCCAAGAATGCAGACATCGGGAAAACAAAATTTAAAACTTATAAAAAATATTTATTTATACATTTGATCATTATATGTGACGCTCTCTGAAGAAAGGGACCTTAGAAGCAAACGAATTATAGATTATATTTACGATAGTTTTACCTTGATTAAAATTTTTTTTTTTTATTTATGTAAACTTAAAATCAGTTTTTATTAAATATTTTGAATGTAATGAAGACTTAAATATCATTAATTTTTATTGAAAGTTGATCCTCTTCGTGTATTTTCATTTCAAAACATAACCTATAATTTTTTGCTTCTAAGATCCCTTTCTTCAGAGCACGTCACATATGATAAAAAATTTCTTTATATCCTTTTCTTAAAATTTTGTAGAAATGATTCGATTTAAATGAATGATGTGGCTTATTGTTTCATCAAATTTTCTTAACATTGTTATCGCATTGATATTTTTAAACAAGTGCACCGTTGTTTTTTTTTTTTTTTTTTTTTTTTAATTTGGTTATTTGTTTAAGAAAAGTCAAAATTACTTTTTAAACCAATAAGCATATTTAAAAAACGGTAAACTTATTAAAAAATTGATTTTACCCCTAATAACACAAGATATATCTTGGGATATATTGATACACGGAAAAAAATAGTTCGCGAAACTTTTGTAAACTAGTTTTTCACTTTTGGACGGGCCCAAAGTTTGGAAATCTTTAATTAACTTTTTTAAGATTCTACAAACTTTTTTTTGTGCGCGTGCGCAGACATTGATTGTCATGAAGAGAGTAATGAACGTTTGTGAAATCTTGAAAAAAGTTAATGAAAGATTTTCAAACTTTGGGCCCCTCCAAAAGTGAACAACTAGTTTACGAAAGTTTCACGAACTATTTTTTTCCATGTAATATCCCGCAGGTATCCTAGGGATGTCCTATGGATATCAAAAGGATCTCTTAAGGATATCCAAAAAATCGGCGGTCTGGATATCCAAAGGATATCTCTATAGACTTTCATAAATGTCCTCCAAATATCCCATAGATATCGTCAGGATATCCCACAGATATTTTCAGGATATTCTCAGTATATCTTCTGGATGTCAAGAAGATAATCTCAGGATACTGTTTTTAAAGTCATTATGAGACTACGAGTGAGAATATTCTGTGAATTAAATTTTATATAAATAAAATAAAATGCAACTTGTTTTTCGAGAAAGTTGTTTAATTTGAAAAATTATTAACTAATTTTTTTCTCATTCGTGATTCATTTCTTTATTCATATGCTTAATATTGTCAGAAAATAAATTGGCTTTAAACAATATAAATTCTTTCCCGCAAATAACGAATAACTATTAATATTAATTATACATTAAGGTATCACATCGGTAAAACCGTTTTCTATAGATTTTCTTGAAAATTTTACCATATGTTCTTATTATCATTCTTGACAAATTTGCAAAATATGAAGAATTTTCGCCGTACGAAACCAGAGATATTAGCAATCAAAGTTGCTTATTTTGCATGGGAGACGGGACTAATGTATGGGGGAGAAGTACATTTTCATAAATATCATCAGAAGTTTTCTATAAATTTTTTTCAAAAACTAATGTTGAATTCACGAATAAATTTGGAACTAAAATATACAAAAAAATTTATAATTTACCGTGCCGTTTATTTGTAATTATAAATTAAAAATTCTATTTCATGACGTCATTTGCAATATATAGCACACCCGCCACTTTGATGTGGCAACATCGCAGGATGGTAACATTAGTTAGAGAGAGACAGTAGTCCACAGTAGTCAAAGCGAGACTTAAAGCGACGTTGTCAAACCTCCTACTCCTTCCAATCGCTGCTAGTGTGGGGTATACGTGTACGAGTGTAGGGGAGACCGAGGAGGAAAGTAACAAAAATCAGTTTTTTTATGCTAGCATTAAAGATATTTGTCGGATAAATTTGTCCAATATATTAAATGAAAGCTTGGACATTCACCTTTTAAATAAAATTTGAATTAAACATTTATAATAAATTGACAGTTCACAGTATAACTTTTACGCAAGCTCTTCATCTGTTACTTTCCTCCTCACCCCCGAGGAGGAAAGTAACAATATAAAATTATGTAAAATTCTTTAGACTAATGACTATTATTAATTAGAAATATTTTTATTAGGAACACATAAAAGTTTAAGTACACTTTATACTTATTTGGCACATATATGGGACATATTTAGCACATATATCGAACATTTTATGAATTTAGCTCATTTTTTTTCTTAAAGATATTTTATGCTTACCTAGATCACAGGTTTTTCTTAAATAAATCTCTGTTATTCGTAAAATTAAATACGATTTGCTTCAATCATTAGTTAAAACATAGACAATATCGACAACTGGAGAAAAGTAGCGTGTTACTTTCCTCCTCGGTCGCTTTTTTCTTGTATGTCAACAAAAAAGTTAAAACTACACAAATGTTAAATTGTTTGTTTAAGCACAACTTAAAGACAGATAATAAGGCTACAAAATAACGAAAGGCACATTTTGAAAAACAATAAAATTAAAGAAATACGAGACTTTGAAAATTTGAACGAAAACTTACTTTTGACGTTTTTTCTTCACGTCACACCGGAAATCAGACCTAACCTTTCCTGTCAGGCTCGGACACACTATGGAGGAGGAAGGGGGAACAGTGCCGACTAAAAATATGTTTGAACCATGTCTATCCGATAATTTGTTTAAAAGTTATAAGCTTTGTTACTTTCCTCCTCTGTTACTTTCCTCCTCGGTCTCCCCTATTTGTAGAAGTAGGTACAGTATGGGCTGAGAGTATAGGGAGTTGAGGGCGAAAGTATACTGCGGGAAGTAGTAATGCGAGCTACAAACTTTTGACTCCGATTAGTGCCGATGTGATAGCTTAAGTGCATGAGTTTATTTAAAAACTTTGAAAAATGCGTTTCAAATCTTCATTTAAAATAAATTAGAAGCTCATAAGATTTTTCTTTTTATTATATTATTATTCATTATATTAGCTTAACAATTTTAACCTTTAAAAATATATGTTGAGATATTAAATATCCCGTGAATATCCTAAGAATATCCCACGGACATCCTGAGGATATCCCATGGATATAATATCCAATAGATATTTTGTGGATGTCTTAGGGATATCCTATGGATGTCCTGTTGATGTCCTGTTGATGTCCCACAGACCGGTTGTTTGGATATCCTAATGATATCCCAAGATATCCTGGGGACCATTCTAGGATATCGACCATTGATATGGATATCCTAGGGATATCCTTTTGTTATGAGGGACGAAATATTTTCTAAAGAAAATAAGCCATCATACATTTTTATAAAAGGGCCTGATGAACCCATTTGTTTAAATAAAATTTTAAATCAAACTATCGTGTAATTTATGTGAAATTTTTTTTTTTTATTTTTTTTTTAAATTTGTCGTATTTGTCTAAAAATATTAACTCGGGGTATTTTTTGGGGTCACTGAATACGAATTTGATGTCAAAATTGAAAATTTAAAATGCCTCTTTTCAATATAACAGACAATTTTTAAATTGATTCGATTCGATCGGAATTCGTTACTCGATTTGTTTACGAAGAAGCATAAATATCGAATATGAAGTTTGGATAATCTGCAAAATAATAATTCAAATATTTGATACTTAAATTAACTTAAATTGCAATTTTACTAATTATTTGTTATTTATATACTTATGCATATAACTAAATTTTCTTTTAAAAAATAAAAAAAAATTTAAACTATTGAATTTACCGATACAAATGTTGAAATTGACAGTTTCATTAAAAATGAAGTAGACAGAATTAGAGGTCGACGAGTTCTTAGCATAATAATATGTAAATCTTTTTTGTAACGAGGTTTTAATTTCCACCAATTTCCCATGTAAACAGCCGTACTTAAGCTTTCATTCTATGAAAATTATTACAAAAAAAAAAAAAATTTTATATCAATATAATATGTATATTAAATAAATTCTTTAAAAAATTGAATGATCTCTTCCCAGATAGCTCGTAAGTTTGCAGCAATCTTGCAACAAGCTTTCTGCGCAATATTGCCAACCTTGCACGGTAACCTTGCCGCGAGCTTACTGAAAGCTTCAAATGTCCCACCTGACCGAAAGCTTGCATAGTAAACTTACCGAAAGATTGCAGTGTAAGATTACTGCAAGATTGCACAATAAGATTATCGCAAGATTGCTCAGTAACCTTGCACGGTAAGCTTGTAGCAAGATTGGTGCAAGGTTACCAAATAAATTTGCTTTGAACCTAAGAAAATTTTTTTTTAATGTTTCGTCAAATTTATATAATTTTATTATATAAATTAGACAAAACATTTTTTTAAAAAAATTTTAGGTTTAAAGCAAGTTTATTTGGCAACCTTGCACCAACCTTGCTACAAGCTTACCGTGCAAGGTTACTGAGCAATCTTGCCGTAACCTTACACTGAAATCTTTCAGTAAACTTACCATGAAAGCTTTCGATCAGGTGGGAGATTTGAAGCTTGCAGTAAGTTTGCCGTGCAAGGTTGGCAATATTGCGCTACAAACTTGCCGCAAGCTTACGTGCTATCTGGATTATTTATCTTGTCAAATATTTTATGCCTTACTTTATTATGTTATATAAACATCTAGACACAATTTTTTTTTTATTATTAACTGCAATCATAAATTTATTGTTAAAAATAATAATAATAATATTGATAATGGATATTCAATTTTTTAAATTAAAAATTACATCAATAATAATTTTAAAAAAATTTACTTGAAGGAACAGTTCATTGCCATTAAAACAATACAAAAAACTTTGATATGTCATACATAAAACATATGCAAAAGTCCCAATAATTTCGGCAGGGATATATGTTGTCAACTGTTATAAAAATAAAATGAATATTGTTTTTTTTTTGTTTTTTTTTTTTTTTTTGTTATTTCAACAAAAATTAAAACAAAATACCTGAGTTATGTAAAATGTTGACAAGCAAGTAACGAAACAATTCACAAACAATTGAAAACCAATTGCAGAGCTAAATATTTTTTCAACTTCTTTAATGAATCTAAATAACATATACGAGACTGTAATTATATAATATTAAAAAATTTACAGAAATTTTTAATTACACAGACACACAAAAAAATAATTCTTGCTAGGAAGTCAGACCATGTTTACTATATATATGATTTTTGAGTCTCTGAAACTGAATCTGAAGTCAACATTTATTAAATAAATAATTATTAATAATAAATAATATAATACAATAATAATAAAAAAAATGAAATAATAAAATAAATAATTATTTATTTAGAAAATATTTGCAAGTAAAATAATTTTTTTTTGTGGCTTTATTAATATGATTAAGCTTACTTAAAAATTGACAAATTGTGTTCGATATAAGAACGCAATTCCTCGTTGATAATTTTATATCTATTATATTCCATTTTATTTGATGAAGATACATTTTGTATTTCATAATCAGTTCCCAATTTGGCGAAATTATATTTTAATATTTCAAATTGACAAGACGCGACATTTAAGAGACTGGAGATAAGAGCGTCAATAGCCAAATTATTGATACAAGCGGTAATAACTCCTAATACCTAGATTTTAATTTATTTTTTAAAACAATAAAAATTTTTTTTAAATTTTGTTATAAAATTTATATTAAAATTACGTAAAAAATTTTTCTATGAAAATTTTGCTGTTTTACTTTTTTTTGTTTATAAAATTTGGTAATTAAATGAGTAATAGATATTCTATTAAAAAATAAAAAAGTAAATAAAAAATTATAATACCTGATGCAACCACGTAAACATAAAAGCAACTTTTTTTCTTGTATCATAAGGATACCATCCGTCCAATGGTAATTGCAAATCACCATCATCTAATAATGCAGCCACTGGTATTGAGGCCCAAAAAAGTATTGTCGATATGCCTAATATATCGTAAATTCCATTATGAAACATATTTTGCCAAGTATAACACATTATAATTATTTCATATCTGTAAATTTTTGCAAAAAAATTTTATTACACTTATCGTTAACAAAATATTATCTCGACAATATTCAATTTTTATTATACTTTTCAATGTTTAATTATTCAAATTTAAAAATTTTAATTAAAAAAAAAAGTTAAACATTTCAAAAATTTCATTTACTAATATTAATTATTATTTATCAATAAAATTTCCACCTGGAATTATGTTTACTAAAAGTTGGACTCTCGATAACTGAAAGCAGATCTTGAATTCTCTTTTTATTGCAATTAACTGCAAAATACTATATTGAAAATAAAAAAAAATTAAATTACATTAAATTAAATTATTTTATTCAACTAAAATTATAATTATTTAACTCTATTTATTTGATGTACAAATAAATTTTTTATTTAAAACAAATAAATAATTATTTAGCTCTAAGAAAGCTCATGATTAAAGTAACTTATATACCCTACCTTATATGCGTATGCAATATTAGTGAGTAAAACAGGAGCTCCTGATGCAATTTTTGACAAATCGCCACGATTAATTATGACATTAACAGTTCCCACGAGAAAGAAAATTCCCAATTTGAATATAAAAATAAAAAATGTTTGAGCAAAAAGAAAATAACGAAAAATTCCCTTTTGTGGTGGTGCCCATGTTCCCGTCCAACGTAAAACTTTTAGACTAATTTTTAACATAAAATACGGTTTTATTATTTTCAATGGTTTTTGTACTTTATAAAAATTCATTTTCATTTAATATTAAATTTCAATTATTTTTACAAATTTTTTAATTTTCAAAAAATTATTTATTCAATTCCAACAAAAAAAAAAAACTATTTCCAAAAGGCTATTCGGTTTTCAAAAAAAAAAACTAATTTTGTTTCAAAAAAGTTATTCAGAGAAAAGAAAATAATTTTAAACAACTATTTAATTTCAAATAGTTGAAATAAACAAAAAAAAACTGTTTCGTTATCTTAAAAAATTTTTTAAAATGATTTTTTATTGAATTTTGTCATAATTTTACTACTGTTTCATATAAAGTTTGAAACAGATTTATAATCAAAATAGTAGCATAGTTTATCTCAGGTATCATGAATGACTATATACAATTGTTAAAGGGGGAAAATTGTTTAGTTCCTGGTTTATGTTTAGATTTTCTGATATAGTTTATGTTTGCAAAATATTTAATCGTACGTTTCAAAAGCCAGTGTATAAAGCTTCTCTATATATGCCACTGTGCAATTAACATTTGTAAATCGATATAACCCAAGAGATGATTCGCAATGTCAACATGTTATTATTTTACTTTATCTAATATCAAGTTTTGTTCGATTTATCGATCCTTTTATTGTGCAATAGAACAATATATAATATTTCAACCAATTGAAAACATAATATCAACAACAACAGTTCAATTCAAAAAATTTTAATAATTTTTTTTTAAACTACTAAAATAAAAAAAAAATTTAATATATTTCATTCAAATAATTGGTTACTTGACAATAAAATAAATAACCAATTGAATTTTTTATTTAGAGAAAATTTGAAAAAATATTTTTTTGATAATTTTACTGATTTCTGCGTTTGAGTAAAAATAATAATTTATTTGACTTAATAATATTGTTTGCTATGAATAAATATTTATTTGATAATAATTTATATTGTTTTATTGAAAGAAAATACATTAAGAGTGCAAAAAATAAATTTAGTAATTTTCAAAATTATTATTTAATATTTAATTATTTGCAGAGGCTAGTATCAAAAATGTGTGTTTTTTTAATTGTTTTTTCTATATATCTACAAAAATAAATTGACAAAAATAAGTATTTATGAATATTATAAAAAATATCTCATTAAAAAAGGTATAAAATTTTTTTATATTTTAAACTTTTTATAAAAACCAAGGTTTTAATCATTATTTGCACATCAATATCGAAAAAAAAATTCATTCTAAAATATAAAAAATAAATTCTTGTTATTTTTTAAAAATTATAATAAAAAAAAAAAGATTTTCTAATTTAAGAATATATTATTTTAATGTTAAAAATAAATATTCTTAATTTAACAATATTTTTTGTATAAAAATAGCCACATCACAATATTAATGATATTTTAAATAAATCCCCATAATATCGATATTCACTTACTACCACTTTTTCTATAAAGAACCATAAATATTGAATATGAACTTTGAATTATCTGAAAAAATAAAAATATATTTTTTCATTTTTAAAAAAAAAAAAAAAAAAATTGTACTTTCTAAAAGTGTAAAATGAATTTAAAAAAATTTTATCTAATGGAATCGAATTCAATTTAAAAAGAAAAATATTACCGACACAAATGTCGAAATTGACAATTTCATTAAAAATGAAGTAGACAAAATTAGAGGTCGACGAGTTCTAAGCATAATAATATGTAAATCACGTTTGTAACGAGGTTTCAATTTCCACCAATTTCCCATATAAACAGCCATACTTAAATTATCATTCTGTAAAAGAATAATAATAAAAAAAAAATATTGAACATTTAATAATTTTTTATATAAAATATTATTTTTAAAAGACAAAAAAATTTTAATTATAAATGGAAAAAATAATCTCTTGCTAAAACGAATTTATAGTGAAAAATGAGCACAATTTTTTTTTTTATTTTTAATTCTTTTTTTTTACTAAAACTAGTCAAACAAATAGAAATAATAATACTAAATTAAATATAGCGGTATTTTACTAAAAATTAGCGAAAATTAATTCACTGAATTAATAGCCTACATTTCACTATATAATTCAGATTTATTTCTCAAATGTTAAATGATTTTAAATAAAAATAAAAAAAAAAATTTTTAATTTAAAATATTAAAACGAAATTTAAATTTATTTTTATCTATTTATTATTAAGACATTTTTAATAAAAATATTAATTGAAAAATAATTTTACTTGAAGGAACAATTCATTGCCATTTGTGCAATAAATAAAACTTTGATATGTCATGCACATTATGTATGCCGAAGTCCCTATTATTTCAGCTGGAATATATGTTGTTAACTAAAATAATAATAATAATAATAATAAATAATTCCATAAAAATTTTTACACAATATTTACAAAATTTAATTTTAAATTTTTGAAAAATTTACAATACTGACAATTCTTATAATATATAAATGGCTCATTTGCCGAAAAAAAAAATTCTAAATTTTTAACTCTATTGTCTCTTAAAAATACAATCTATATATTTAATTCTTATAATAGGTATATAATAATATTTTTAAAATAAAAAAATATAATAAATTTAAAAAAACAAATTTTTTTCAGGAAATTATATTCCAACTGTAAGAATAAAATATTTCAAAAAACTAAATGCCTTTCTAATATCAGGTGAAAAATCCTTTTTTAACGTGTTTATTTAATTTTTCTTGAATTTTTCAAGAATAATTATAAATTATAATTATATATACCAATATAAATAAAAAATAAAATAAAATCCTCAAAAAAAAAATTATTGCAATAAATTGTAATTTTTTAATGATAAATGTCCCGTAAAATGCCCTCTTATGATTTATTTACCTGAGTTATGTAAAATGTTGACAAACAAGTAACGAAACAATTTATAAACAACTGGTAACCGATTGCCGAGCTGAATATTTTTTCAACATCCTTAATGAATCTGGAAAATTTATGTAAATTAAAATTTATTTATAATAATAAATAATTATTATTATTTTTATTAATAATAATATTAACGTTAATTTTTTATTGCGAATTTATTTTTTTCTTTCTACATTTATTTATTACACTTACTGTAAAATTGCCAAATTGTGTTCGATACAAGAACGCAATTCCCCATTAATATTATTGTCATAAATAAAATTGTCATTCACCTTTTCATTTGACGATAATAAAGATTTTTTTACTTGAATATAATTTCCTACTTTGACAATATTCTGCTTTAAAATTTCAAATTGACAAGTTGCCACATTTAAAAAACTCGAGATAAGAGCGTCAATTGCTAAATTATTGATGCAACAAGTCACAACTGCCATTACCTAAATATTAATTAGATATTTATAAAAAAAAAAAAAATGCAAATAAATTTCTTTTTAAGATAAATAAATATATTTATTTGCTTCGAATAAATATTATATTTGGTTGAAATAAATTTTATTTAGTTCAAATTAAATTTGTTTAGTCCAAATAAATTTTTTGTCAACAAAAATTTTTCATACAAACTTTTTAAATGAAATTTTATTAATGAATTTTTAATTAATTCAGATAAATTATATATTTGATTAGAGTAAAAAATTTTTTCTAAATATATATATATATCTTTTTTTAAGAAATCGAAAATTATAATGAAACCTGATGAGCCCAAGTGAAGATAAAAGCAACTTTTTTTGTTGTCTCATAAGGATACCATCCATCTAATGGCAATTGCAAATTGTCACCATTTAATAATGCAGTCACTGGTATTGTGGCCCAAAAAAGTACTGTCATTATTCCAAATATTTGATAAATTCCATTATGAAATACATTTTGCCAATTGTACCACATTATTATATTTTTATATCTAAAATTTTATATTACAAATTATAAAAATCACATTTTATTATTTTTCATTATGTTACTCTTAATTCAATAATAATTTAATAATTCACAATAATTTATATTTTTAATGGAAAAAAGATATTTATTATTTCTTTGTTTTTTTTTTTTTAATATTTCAATAACATTTATGTACCTGGAATTATTGTTAGAAAACATTGGACTATCGATGATTGATAAAAGATCCTGAATCTTCTTTCTGTTACGATTAACGATAAAGAACTTATGGGAAAAAAGGAAATAAAAAAATATTTGTAACTAAAGAAATATTTCATATTTGTTAATAAAAATATGTAAAATTGAAGAAAAAAAAAACAATTTACTTTGTATACATAAGCAGTGTTGGTAAGAAAAAGTGGCGCTGCTGAAGAAATTTTTGCAATATCACCCCAATTAATTATAATATCGACAATTTCCACAAAGAATAAAATTCCCAATTTAAATAGAAAAATAGAAATTGTTTGTAATAAAAAGAGATAGTGAAAAATTCCATTTTGTATCGGTGCCCATGTTCCTGTCCATCGCAATATTTTCAAGCTAATTTTTAATAAAAAATATGGTCTTATCACATGTCCTTTATAAAGATTCATTTTATATTTTAAAAACAATCACCGAATTATATTTTAATTACACTCGATTTTTTTAAATTAACATTTTTAAAAATTATAATACAAATTTAATAATAAATTTGATTTTTTTCAGTGTGATTTTAATCTAATTTTGTCTATTATCATTTTTTATGGTAAATAGGAATTGAGAAATGTAAGCGAAACAGAATGACAAAGAAACGAAAAAATAAAGAATTAATTCTTCTGGGTTGTAAAATAATTTTAACAAGATTTAGTTCCTTGTTGAGTGTATTATAGGTAAAATTAATTACAGCTTTCAGAGATAGTGTATAAAGACTTCCCTTTATACTTCTGTGTAATTAAACATTTAAAAATCAATATCGTTTCGCAATGGTACAGACGAATATAATGTCAACCTGTAATTAATTTTCTTTAGCCTAATATCAGGTTTTGTATATACGTTATCGACCCACACGTTAAAATTACTCAACAGAAACAGTTAATAAATTTTATTCCCTAGTCAGAGTTAAGAAAATAGATAGACGCATATTGGTTTATTATAATTTTAAAACGATGAGGAACTATTTAGTTGCAAAAATATTAGCGAAAATAAGAAATATTATAAAAAATCATTAAAAAAAAACCTTGTAAAAAAATTGACGTTGAAAAATAGTCAAAATTATGAAAGTATAGATCCATTTTGAAAATTCTTAATTTTTTCAAAATTCTAAAATGGTCAAAAATGAATATTTTCTTTTTTTTGGACAACACATTTTTTTATATTTAAAAATATTGTAATTATTTTAAACACAATACAATTGTATAAAACGTCATATATATAGGTATATAAAAATAATTAAATCATTTTTCATGATAGATATTTTCATATTATCTATAATCTACTTCTGTCATTTTAATAACGGTCATCTTCGGTTCTGTTGACATCTAATGATAAGTTATCCGATAAATGCTTAGATGCTATTAGAGTTGCTGTGGAACAGGGGCAAGATACCAAATTTACTGAGTTTCAAAACCTACTAACTGAAATGTTGGGATCTTTCAAAGCTGAGCAGGTTGAATTTAATAAAAATTTGTTGTCTACTATTTCATTGATGAAAGAAGAGATCAGTGAGAATTCTAGAAAAATTAATTGCATTGAGATTGATTCACAATGTATGTCTAATGATCTAACAGTTGTTAAAACAGAGACTGAGCAATTGAAGAGCAAAATCCATCATCTCGAACATTGCGTCAATGTACAGGAACAGTCGACTCTTCTCTCCTCACTTGAGGTCCATGGACTGCCTATTAAAAGTGACGAGGACTTGCACGGACGTTTTATTGACATTGCCAAGAGTCTAGATGTCACTATTAACAGTGGAAATATTATAAACATTTTTAGAATTCGCAGACCCGACATTACCAGTTCACAACTAACTCCACCTACAATAGTTGTTAAGCTGTCTGATCAACATTTAAGAGACGAACTAATTAATAAACGAAAAATGCAAAAAAATTTTTCTACGATTAATATTGGCTGGCCCGAAAAAGAAAAATTTTCAATCTATTTGCGCGAATCACTAACTCCGATAAATCGACGAATTTATTCTGCTGCACTAGCCCTAAGAAGAGAAAATAAAATCAAATACTTATGGATTTCTGGAGGCAAAATTTTTGGACGGAAGGCAGATGGAGAAAGACGATTCCAATTAACATCGCTCGAAGCTGTGAACTCGATAAAGTGAAAAGGATTGAAGCTTTGGTTATACTTTTCTTTTTAATTCTATTTCACATTTTTAGTTCTTTCTATATGCTCTATCTATTTCATCAATTTTTTGTTATCTTCTTAATATTGAAATTAACGTTATTATATCTATTGTTTGTTACATTTGCTTTATTTCGTTTTTTAAATTTTATTCAAATTGATTTTGTATTTACTATTTTATTTTGCTTACATCATGTAATCTCAGAGCCTGTGTTTCTTTTTTTTGTTTATTTACTTAAAATCATTTATTATTTTTTTTTTTTTTTTTTTCAGTCAGTTGCAATGTTTGGACTATTTACTTTTTAGTTAAAAGTTACAACAATGGAGACCTTAAATATATGCCATGTTAATGCGCAATCATTGCGTGCACATTTCATTGAATTTAAAGATTTTTTCGATACTGGCTTTTATGATGTGATTGCTGTCTCTGAGACTTGGCTAACACCTAGTATATCATCTAACCTTGTAAATTTACAAAAATATAATCTTTTTCGTAATGATAGAGAGTCACGTAGAGGTGGGGGAGTGTGTCTTTATATTCATAAGAATCTTCGATGCTCTTTAGTGACCACGAGTTCTGAAGGCCCTTATCCTGCTGCGGAATTTTTATTTATAAAAATGCAGACCCAACACGATAACGCATTGATTGGAGTAGTATATAAACCACCAAATACTTCATTTGGCAATGAATTGGAAAATCAAATTTTTTCTTTGGTTCAATTTTTCAATAATATCCTTATAATGGGTGACTTTAATTGTAATTTAAATACTCCTTCTCCGGTTACTAATTACTTTACTTCTATGATATATTCGGCTGGCTTATCCGTGGTTCCTCACAACTCATCTCATCATGTCAATAATTCTAGTACTAGAATTGATGTAATGATCGTTGATGACTTAAACAAGGTTCTCCTGGTTGGTCAACATCCGGTAGCATTCTTATCCAATCATGATTTAATTAATATTAAATTTGAGTTCGAAGGAGGTCGATCTCAAGCAATTAATAATTCGGTTTTTATTCGGAATTTAAACTATATTTCTGAAACCGATTTCCTTTCTCATCTTTCGACCTATGATTGGTCAGGTATTTATTTATCAACTGATATTAACGTGAAAGTATATAAGCTCACATCATATCTTACCTCTGCCTTTGATTATTTTGCTCCTCTTCATTTGCCCAATAATAATAGGAAAAAATTTTCTCCATGGATGACAGATGATTTGAGGGCGCTGATCAGTGAAAGAAATAAACTTCGGCGAATAGCTAAGAGATCTAAAATTGCTGCAGATCATGTTAAATTTAAAAAAGTTCGTAATTTAGTTAAAACTAAGATTAGAGATGCGTTTAATAAATATAACTTTAACATAATAAAAAATAAGAGTAAATCAGTAAATATTTGGAATATTTTAAGAAGAATTAACATACTACCACAAAAGAAAAAAAATTCGACTGATTGTAACTTTCAAGCACAAGAATTTCTCCATGCTTTCACACATACTCCTTCACCGGCCGCCTTTTCTATTTCGGCGTGCTTCCCAGTCAATACAATAACTTTTAATGAAACCAACTTCTTTTTCTCGGACATTTCACCTGATTCGTTACTTAAATGTTTAAATAGTATCAAAACCAATGCAACAGGACCGGATTATATTTCTATTAAAATGATTAAACTAGCTTTACCTGTTATTTTTCCGGTTCTGCTGCATATCTATAACTATTCACTTCAGACAAAGGTTTTTCCTGAAATTTGGAAAATGAGTAACATTCGGCCTATTCCTAAGATACCTAATCCAAAAAAAATTTCAGATTATAGAGAAATTTCTATAATTTGTACCCTATCCAAACCATTAGAGAAAATTGCGTGCGAACAACTCACAACGTTTTTGAAGGAAAATGATTTGCTTGAATCACTTCAATCTGGTTTTCGCGCCAAGCATAGTACTTGTACGGCATCTTTAAAGTTTACTACAGATGTTAAACTTGCAATGGATTTGAGGTACATTACTATTGTGGTATTTTTTGATTTCTCGAAAGCATTCCCATCTGTTGATCATAATTTATTATTGCGTAAATTATCTTCTTTTCAATTGTCAAAATCTGTATGTGATTGGTTCGAATCTTATATTAGTCATAGGTATCAAAGGGTTATTGATGGGAATGGTGATCAATCAGAGTGGAGTAGACTGAGTTGTGGTGTCCCTCAGGGTGCTTCACTGTCTTCACTACTTTTTAATTTGTTTATTTCAAGCCTAGGAGATAATTTGAAATTTTGCAAATATCATAAATATGCTGATGATTTTAAATTTTATCTTTCGGGTCCCTTGTCTTCGCTGCCTAATATGTTAAAAATGATACAAATAGACATTGACTATGTTGAACAATGGGCAAAAGATAATGGACTTGTGCTGAACCCAAATAAGACACAAGCTATGGTTATCTCAGTATCAGGCTATCCTTCAATAGATTTGTTAAAGACTTTGCCTCCTCTCATATTAGGGGGAAAGGACATTGTATTTAAGGAGACAGTGAGGGATCTTGGTTTGGTGATAGATAGAACCTTGTCATGGGGGGTGCATGTTTCTGAGATCTCGCGTAAGACTTTTATGACACTGCAGCAGTTAAATAGAAATAAGGACTCACTCCCAATTTCTACTCGATTATTGTTAGTTAAATCATTAATCCTTCCTATTTTTGATTATTGTTGTCTTGTTTATGATGATATCAGCAATGATTTAAATCAAAAGCTTGAAAGATCTTTAAATGCCTGCATTCGTTTTATTTATGATATTCCGAAATTTGAACATATAACGCAATATAGAATTAAATCTGGTCTATTAAACGTTGCAACTCGGCGACAATTTTTTATGGGAAATCTACTCTTTTCAGTATTAAAAACAAAGGTTCCTACTTACTTATTCGATTTTTTTGATTTTAAAAACAATAATGAAGAATTTCATAACAGGCTCCGAGAAAGAAAGTCTATACTAAAAATACCACAACATCGGACTCGCAAAATGCAACAATCTTTTATTATTAGAGGTGCCAGATTGTGGAATAAATTGGATATTAGTTTGAGAAATGCACCCAACATATTAAGTTTTAAAAAATTATTCTTTGATTTATTATATAAAAGAAGCAACGAAGTATTTAATGTTACTTATTGGTAATTGTTTATTATTTCTTTGTTTGGGTACTCTTTGATATATTTATGTTATCTCTGCTGTTATTCATCCAAATCAATCAAAATTAAGATTAATAGTTTTGTTAATTTTGTTATAATTTAAGTCACTTGATTATTTTCTTTAAATTATGATATTCTGTTTTAGTTAATTGCTCAGTATTATATTATTTTATACTTCTTTTTCTAATACAATATTGATAATTCGATCTTTACTTATTATGTAATTGTTCCTTGGTGGGCTTATTAGCCTTAGGAACTTTAAATATTTTTAAATAAATAAATAATAAAATAAATTATTTCTTTAAATTCATAAAAAAAAATATTTCAAAAAACTCATTATGAATATTTTTTTTATAATTTTTCCTATAAATTCATTGGAAAAAAAATTGTATGTAATCAATGAGTTTAAAGTGATAAAAAAAATTTCGTTAAACATGCTTTCTATAAAGAAGCGTAAATATTGAATATGAAGTTTGAATTACCTGGAAAAAAAATTTATATTTTTATTGATTTAAAAAAAAATGATTAATTACACTAATAAAATAAAATACAATTAAAATAACAACAAAAACTCACTGAAACAAAAGTTGAAAGAGATAATTTCAATAGGAACGGTGTCATTAGAATAAGGGGTCGACGTGTTCTGAGCATGACAATTTGTAAAATACGTTTGTATCGAGGTTTCAATTTCCACCAATTTCCCATATAAACAGCCATACTTAAATTGTCATTCTATAAAATATAAAAGCAGAAAATATGTACATTTATTTTATAATCATTAATTTTTGGATCCTCTAATAAAAAATTTTTTTATAATTTAATCTCTTCTCATATTAATAGGTAAAAAGAAATTTTTAGGAAATACAGAACTTAATAATCACTGTATAAAATAGAAAAAAAAACATAAAATAAGATTTCCAATTGAAGAATTAAAAAAAAAAAATGTTTTTCATTAAAAAAACTAAAGAAATTAAAACAATATTAAATAATTTCAAATTATTATTAAATATTTTTAATATTAATTAAAAAATTATGTTACTTGAAGAAATAACTCATTGCCATTTATGCAATAAATGAAACTCTGATATGTCATGCAGAATATATAGGCAGAAGTCCCAATTATTTCGCCAGGAATAAATATTGTTAACTATTACATACGAAAAAAAAAAATACATACAAAATTATACATATTTTATAAAAATATATATTTTTTTTACATAAAATTCCATTTTATCAAAAAAATTTAATAATAGAAAATTTATCATTTGTTTAATAATATTTGTTGAATAAAATATCGATAAATACCAATTTTATTTTTCAAAATTTTCATTTTTTAACAAAAAAAAAAACATACCTGTGTTATGTAAAATGTTGATAGACAAGTAACGAAACAATTAACAAATAATTGTAAACCAATTGCGGAGCTGAATATTTTTTCAACTTCTTTTATGAAACTAAAAAGGAAAGCCAATAATTTTATACAAAAGTATATAAAAATTAATTTTTTTAATTTAATTTATAATTTTTTTTCTTTATTAGTAAAGAAAAATTACAACTGTTGCCAAGAACAAGAAAAAAAATAATAGAAAATATATATATTTTTTAATACGTATTTACTTAAAAATAGCTAAATTATGTTTAATACAGTAACGCAATTCCTCGTTGATATTTTTATTATGACATAATTTATCTTCTTTTTTATTTGACGATACTAAAAAATTTTGTTCTTCAATATCTCCAATTTTGGCAATATTCCATTTTAATATTTCAAATTGGCATGATGCTACATTTAAAAGACTGGAGATTAGAGCATCAATAGCCAAATTATTAATACAACACATAATAATTGCCACTGTCTAAATTAATTACAGTCATTTTATTATAATGGGTGTTTTATAATTATATGCAATTCCAAATGAGAATTACCTTCAAAATATGTTAACGAAAATTTTTTTTTTGAATTTTATATAAAAAATAACAATTTTCTATAAACAAATTAATTTTTTTTCAAACCTTTAGGTATGATTATTAAAAAAAAATTTCTATTTTTACATATAACCTGGAAATACTAAGAATATTTTGCAAAAATTTTTTAGAGCGTGCTTGATTCTTTTTGTTTAAATAATTAAAAAAAATTTTTTTTTTTTATTTTTCAAAAAATAAAATGCATTTTAGTTTGCTTTTCTATGAGTAAAGTGAAAGATTTTATAGAGTGGTTAAAAAAAACTTTTTATTTTGAAAAATAAAAAAAAAAAAAATTTTTTTTTAACAAATTATTTAAACAAAAAAGGATTACTCTAAAACTTTTTGCAAATTATTATTAATATTTCCTGTATGTAAAAATAGAAAAAAAAATTAACAAAAATCGTTATTCTCTGATGGAATCGCCCATATTATAATGTAAAATACAAAATTATTTTAAAAAAAAAGTACCTGATGCGACCAAGTGAGCATAAAGGGAATTAATTTTTTTGTATTAAATGGATACCATCCGTCCAATGGTAATTGCAATTCATTGCCATCTAATAAAGCCGTCACTGGTATTGCAGCCCAAAAAAGTACTGTCATTATTCCTAATATTTGATAGATTCCATTGTGAAATATATTTTGCCAAGTGTACCACATTATTATTCGTTCGTATCTAATTAATAATTGATAAATTAATCATTTTTATGTTATCTCATTTTAAAACCAAGTAGAAAAATTTTATTTTAGTCAGACATTGACTCAATTTTGTAAGTCAATTAATAAGTTGAATTATTTCTTCAAATAGAAAGAAAAAATGATTTTATTCAGGTAGTTAAAAGAAAAAAATTACAGTTTAATACAATTTGGTAGGTATAAATATAGTTAAATATTTGTGAAATATTATTATTTTATTGTAAATTTTACCTGGAATTATAATTGCTAAATGTTGGACTTTCAATTATTGAAAGTAAATCTTGAATTTTTCGTCTATTACGATTGATGGTAAAAAACTTGAAAATAAACAAATCATAATTAAATAAAATAAAATGCAAGAATATGTATAAAAAAAAAGAAATTAATTTTTCTTATATTCATACTTTTTTATATGATTGAAATTAATTTTATAAATATACCTTGTATGCATGTGCAATATTAGTCAAAAATAGGGGAGCACTTGAAGCAATTTTTTCTAAATTATCCAAATTCATAACAATAGCAATAATTTCCACAAAGAAAAAAATGCCCAACATAAAGACAAAAATACAAATTGTATGGGCATAAAAAAAATAATGAGAAATTCCTTTTTGTCGCGGTGCCCATGTTCCCATCCATCGTAAAACTTTTAAACTAATTTTTAATAATAGAAAAGGTTTCACTGGTTTTGAAGAAACTTTTGCCTTATGAAAATCCATTTTCATCTATATATATATACTGGATATAAAGGTCTATTTTATATAAAGAAATTGTTTATTGAATAATAAAATTCATTTGTTAAGAACTATTTATTTTGTTAATTTTCAATTTTATTTTCCATTTTCGTAAATTATGTTGGTGATTCTCCACAATTTCATGTTACTTTAAAAAAAAAAACTCGGTAATAAATCCAACATGAAAAACTATAATTTCTAATAAGAATCACCCATATTTAATTTTAATGATTTTGAAAAATTATTTCCTCATCTTGAAAGATGGAAAACAATTTTTTTTTTTTTTTTATTATTATTTTAATAGTTCAGAGTTAAATGAAAACGAGGCTGATAAAAAACAAAAATACTGATAGTAATTTTCAAAGATCATCGTTGAAAATTATTTTAAAGAGAAAATTACTTATATAGTTATCTACACACAAATTGTTCTTAACACTGTCTTTAGAGAAATTTAATAACAATAACAAGAAAACAGTTTAGTTCCTCGTTGGCTTTTGTCTATAGAAAATTAATTACAGCTTTCAAAGGTGCTTCTATTGTAAGCTAGTTTGGTTACCTATAATTAAAATTTGCAAATCAATACTGAAAGATATGCACTATATATATACACGAATTGTCAACTTGTAATTATCTTTTCTCGCATCTATAATAATCGGATACGTTTTGTTTATCGACCCAAGTTAAACTTATGCGAATCGAAGGTTGGTAGTTGTAGAAAATAAAAGATTTAAAAACATTGTAAAATCATAATAGATAAATTCTCATTATACTCTCAGCAACACATAATACACACAAATAATAAAATTCAACTTTATTCAAATGGATGTTGGAATTATAAAAATAAATTATTTTTTTTCTTTTAATTATAAATTCTTCCTGTGAAGAAGTGTAAACATCGAGTATGACGTTTGAATTATCTGCAAGAATAAATTTTAAAAAAATACATATTTTGAATTTTGAAAAAAAATATATCTTTCTATTATTAGTTTAGCCAAAAAGTTTTTTTGGTTCCCATAAAAAGATTTGAATGGACTTTATTTTAGGGCCAAACTAATAAATAAAATAAATAACAAATTAGAGTTGTTGAAAATTATTTATAAAAACTCACTGACATAAATGTTGGAATTGTTAAGGTAATTAAAAACTTGGTAGTTAAAATAAGTGGCTTTTGTGTTCTCAACATTATAATATGCAAATTACGCCTAAAACGTGAATCAAGTTTCCACCAACTTCCCATATAAATTGCACCAGCCAAAGCTTCATTCTATAAATAAATTAATTTAATTAAATTTCTATTTATAAATATATTATAATATATACTTTTTATAATATTTATATTTATAATTTTATAATTAATATATAAAAAAAAAATTGATGAAAGTTTAAAAATTTATATCACATTTTTTAAATTAATTTTCAATATTATTTAACTTACCTGTAGATACAATTCATTCCCCTGCCAAGTGTAAATAAAAATTTGATATGTCATACACAAAATATATGCACCATTACCAATTATTTCCGCTGGATTGAATGTTGTTAACTTTAAAACAAAATAATTAATTTTTTTTTCATATTTTATTTCTATATTTTTTAAAATTATTATTTTAAATTTTAAATTGTAAAAATAGAATATAAAGTAATATCAATTTTTTTTTACATTTATACCTGCGAGAGATAAAAAATTGATAAACAAATAATAAAGCAGCTTACAAATAATTGTAAACCAATAACAGTACTGAATATATTTTGAATTTCCTTAATAAAACTGAAAATTAAAATATATAAAATAAATATTCAAAAAAAAATTTATATCACATAATTATACATATTAAATATATGACACTCTGAAGAAAGGGACCTAAGAAGCAAAAAATTATAGGTTATGTACTCCAAATACTATCATAAACATAACCTATAATTTTTTTTGTAGGCCCCTTTCTTCAGAACGTGTCACACATATATATAATAAAAATATTATATTATTATTTTATATATCAGATAAAATTGCGATAAATACTTGTAAAATGATATACCTACTCAAAAATAGCCAAATTATGTTTTATACATTCATGTAATTTCTTATTAATTTTATTATTATTATTATTATTATTACAATTTTCTTTCAAGTTTATCATAAGATTTTGTTCATCCAAATTATTTCCCAATGCAGCAAAATTCCATTTTAGTAATTCAAATTGACACGAAGCAACATTTATCAAACCGGTGATAAAAGAATCAGTAGCTAGATCATTAATGCAGCAGAGAACAATGGCCACCCCCTGAAAAATATTATAAAAAAAATTTTATATTTATATAGAAAACTTAAATAATTATAAAAAATATAAATTTATATTTTATAAAAATATATATATAATAAATTAAAAATACTATTATTTTAATAAATATAAAATTTTTGATTATTTTCAAACTGTTTTCTGAATCTGAATATTATAATAAATATTCGTCAATATTTAGATTTACTTTAATAATATTTAAATCTTTACCAATATATTTTTATTTTTTTATTTATATTATATAATTTTTTTTAAATTTATATTTAAATTATTTATTTAAAAAAATATTTTTTAATTTTTCATTGAATCTTGAATGAAATATTCCATGTTATTGTGAAATATTAATGACAAAAAAAATATATATAGTACTTGATGTGTCCAAGTAAGAATAAAGGCTAAATTATTATTAACATCATATGGATACCAGCCATCTAAGGGTAATTTTTTTTCACTCCCATTAATAAAACCTCTAATTGGAATACACGCCCAGAAAAGAACAGCAAAAGTTCCAAAAATTTGAAATACACTATGATGAAATATTCCCTGCCATGCATAAGACGACATAATATTTCTATATCTAAAAAATTATTTTCAATATTGTATTAAATAATAGCTTCAAAAAAAAAAAAAAAAAAAAAAAAAAATTGCAAATTTATACAAGAATAATTACCTTGAATTATCTTTAGAAAAAATTGGACTTTCAATAACCAAAAGGAGTTTCTGTATTCGTCGATGATAACGAATAATTGTCAGAGACTTTTAATTAATTATTATAATTATTAAAAATTATTAAATTTAAATTGCCTTACTAATATGAAGAATTTCAAGTGAAGTGATCAAGGTGAAATTTTTTTTTTCTCTACTTAAAGTACTCAAGTATACTCAAAAAAAATTTTCCATTTGGTTCAATATTTTTTGTGGGGGAAAGTTTTGGGTATAATTTTTTTTCTTAGCTTTTTTGACTCACCTTCAATTGGTAAAATGCATTTTTGAGAAAAAAATTGAAATTAAAAATAAATTTGATTTTTTTTTTTGAGTGAAAGACACACACACACACAAGGTTTTTTTTCTTTTTTTATCGAAAATTTTTTTTTATTTCATTATATAATTGAAAAATTTACCTAAGTATGAGCAGATTTGGAAAAAAATGTTTTTTTCACCTTGATTGCTTCCTTTATATATCTCATATAAATTACTAAATTTTATGCTTTAATTAATTGTTGTAGATATAAATAAAAATTATTTTTATTTTTTTTTTCAGTATACCTTAAATGTATGCAGACAATTAGTAATAAAAAGAGGACCTCCTGATGCAATTTTATTAACATCATTGTAATTCAATAGAATATTAACAAATTCCACAAAAATATACATGCCTAGTGTTAATAAAAAATAGATAAAACTGTAGAGATAATAAATATTTCGAATGAAACCTGATTTTTGAGGAAGCCAAGTGCCTGTAATTTTTAATATTGTTAAACTTATTTTCAAATGAAAATAAGGTTTAAGAAAATTCTTTTTCCTATGAAGAGCCATATTTTTTTCAAATTAAAAATATTTTACATAGAACAAATTTTCTAAATTAATTTTCGCACAGTTTCATCTCTCTCTTTTTTTTAAAAAAAGTCACAATTGTAATATTTTTTTATCTACTATTTTTTAAGTAACTTTTTCAACTTTTTCATTTCTTGTAAAATATATATTAGTAAAAAAATAAAATTGAAAAATTCAATTCTCTTATTATATAAAAATTTGAAAAGTTAAAATTTTCACAAAATCGAATATGAATAGAAGAGAAATGATTATGAAACTAGGATCAAAGTTATTCTATAGAGAGAATCTTAAAATAATTTTACGAGGGTGTTTTGTTTCTGATTTCTATTCAGTGGAAAATTAATAATAGGCTTCGAAAGACTGTCGGTACTTCACTAAACTGATAATTAATATTTTTAAAAATCAATATTATACTATATATATAACAAACGGTGTACGATTCGTCAAACCTGTAATTATATTTCTCCGTTTAATATATGGTTTTGTTTTCTCATTATTGATTTCAGATTATAACTGACAATACGCAGAAACTCGCAAGGATTCAGTTATGTAATGGAAAATTGAAGATTTACATCTAAGACAATGTTGACTATGGATATAGTAATTCTTCTCTCTTCGAATTCAGGTATTTTCTCACCTATTTCGCAAAGCAGATTAACTCAAAAATTAATTGATTAAAAAAATTTTAAAAAGGATAATTTTTATTTTATTTACAATATATTATTTTTTATTTATATTTTATGAAAATGCACTGCAAAAAAGATAAGATGACTTTAACAACAGAACATTTGATTAGTATTTGTACTACAAAAATTATTATGCTTTCATTAAAAAAATTTTTGTAAAGTTAAAAAAATTATTTTTTTTTTCAATTAAAATAAAAAAATTAAAATTAAATTTTAAAGAGGTCAAAATTTCTCAACTGGATCACCTTAAATTAACAAAATTATATTTCTCATACATTTTTGAGTACAAAATTATTGAGAAAAAAAATTATACTCAATTGGAAATAATAAATTGAATATTTTTTTTATTGAAAACAAGCGATTAGCATTCAAATACATCATAAATTAATTAATTAATAATTACTTATTATTTATAATAAATAATTATTTTTGTTATAATAATAATGTTGATGATCAATTCTCTTCAGAAATTGAAATTTTATTATAAATGTAAAATACAAAAAAAAATTTTTAACAGACTTATAAACAAATTAATTATTATAAATGAATTTTTTACCTTAAAAATAATTAACATTTAACAAAAAAAAATAATATAATAAATATGTAAATACTATTGTGAATAGATCAGTTTTGAAAATATTACAGAAAATGACACGCGTAAAAATAGAGTCATTGAACTGATTTCAATAAGTGTAAATAGATATATAATATCTATTTAAGTATTTACACTTATTGAAATAAGTTCAATGACTCTATTTATTTTTAATTACAACATTCCAAGACGAAAAAAACCATTTTTTTTTATTTTTCAATTTTTCAACTGAATTTCGAGAAAAAAATTTATTTATTTAACAAAAAAAATTTCCGGAAATAACTTTTGAAAAATTTCCGAATTTTTTTTCCGGAAAAATAATTAAATTTCTTTTTTCAAACGCCAACATCAAAGATATTTTTTTTATATAACTTATTTTTATTTTTACGAAGTAAAAAAATAATGAAAATTATTTAGTAAGATTTATCCTATTTTATTTTTTTTTTTTTACGTTAATTAAAAATAATATTTCTTTTAAATATTAAAAAAAAATTGTTTAATTGAAAAATTTTATATATAAAAATTATAAGTTCAAAAATGGGGGAAATTTTGTTTTATCTTATACAAATAATATTATTAATAAATAATTAATATTAATATGTTAGGAAATAATTTTTCAATAATTTCTTTGTTAATAATATATATTTATAAGTTTCTAACTGGGATAGAGTCAGCAAATTGTAATGTCTTATCGTGCTAAAATATATACATATATTTACAATTTTACACATATATGCACATTTAGCAGATTGTGAGTGTAGTACAATGTCCATAAACTTCATTTCTCAACGCCTTTCGTAAAATTACCAGTCACTCGAGATCTTTCTGAAATGTCAAGATCTCCTAACAGATCGTATTAAACTTAAAATATTCATGTGTTTCAAGTGTTTTATAAATTAGAATAAAAAGATATAATTTCAAAAACTTCCGTAACTCGGAGTCAGTAGCTTCAGTTACTTTCGCAATAAAAAATTTAAAAAAAAAATTTACAGTGTTATTATCTCTCGACATACTCGAAAACAACATTGACAAATGTAAAACAAAACCATATGTTAATAATAACAATAATTAATATTGACTAATTAACAAAACAAAAATTAAAAATTAAGTTTTTATTGAATTAATTTATTAAAATAAATATTAAAAATTAAGTTTTTATTGAATTAATTTATTAAAATAAATATAAATTAAGTTTTTATTGAATTAATTTATTAAAATAAATATTAAAAATTAAATAAGTGATTGGATTTTTAAAGCCTTTGTCTAAAAAATATTTTCGCCTTGGTGTTACATAACAATGTTGTGTTAAAATATTGTAAATCAGTGAAAAGAATTTTTTCAATTTAAAGATTCACAAATTGATAATAAAAAAAAGTATGGCTGCTAAAATTGGAATATTGATAACTCACGATACTCCTGATATTGAGGTGAATGAATTTTGTCCTCGATACTTTTTTTTTTTTTTAATTTATATTATCAATTATTATTATTTATAGAACTTAAATATTAATAACTTTCAACTATATTAATTAAAAAAAAAAAACAAAAATATATAATCTTGTAAATTTTCCAATATTTCAGAATCTTCTCAATCTTAATCCAAAAATAAAACAATTTACAAATCTTGTTCCATCAATTAAAACAAAATCAAACAAAAATCTTTGGAAGCGAAACATTCATGAAAAATGTGATGTAAGAAACTTTTTTTATAAAAAGAAAAATAGAAAATGGAAAAAACTAAAAAAATAAATAATTAAATTAATTATTTAACTTATATTATTCAAATGTTTTGTTGTTTTAAAAAAATAAAATAGAAAATATTTTTCTGTTATAATTTTTTTATTTTTTAGTCATATTAAATTATGTGATTAATTTAAAATATTTTACATTACAGAGTTGTTTGAGTTTGACAAAAAATTTTGATGACATTAAAACAACAACATTGAGTGAAAGAGGAGCATTATTTGAGGCGTCAAGATGTTTGAAATGTGCCGATGCACCATGTCAAAAATCATGTCCGACACAATTGGATATAAAATCATTTATCACTTCAATTTCAAATAAAAATTATTATGGAGCTGCAAAAGCAATTTTTTCCGATAATCCATTGGGTCTTACTTGTGGAATGGTGTGTCCAACAAGTGACCTTTGTGTAGGTGGATGCAATCTTTATGCCACTGAAGAAGGTCCAATTAATATTGGAGGATTACAGCAATTTGCTACTGATGTAAATATATTTTTTATATTTCATATAAATTTAAATAATATAGTGTATCACTTACATAATTTTAATAGAAAATACATGTTTTATAAATTAAAAATATGATATACGATTTTTTTAAAATAAAAATACATAATTCATTAGAATATTAAAAAAGGAAAGGAAACTATTTTTTTATTTCTTCATTTAGTTTTTTTCATTGATTTTTTTATTTTGTATTTTTTTCCCCTCTTTCTTTTCTATTATATTTACTTTTGTTATTTAAATTTTTAATTATAGTATTATTGATAATATTAATTTAATCATGAATTTGGAAAAAAGGTGAGTATCATTTTCATTTATTTGATATTTCATTTTAATCCTAAAATTTTTTTTTTAATATAAATGCAGATATTAAATTTAAAAATATTTTTTGAAATATGAAAACAATATTTTTTAGATATATTCCCAAAGTTCCAATGAAATTGGAATATTCCCTCAACATTCCTTTGATTTTTTTATTATTTTATTTTTTTTATTTTTTGATATTCTATAATGGAATATTTTTTGTAATATCTGTAATAATTGGTAAAAATATTCCTGCGATATTCCACATTAATATTATTTTGATATTTTTACAAAATTATTTTTTCAAATTTTTTTTTTATCATATTATTTTGACACAAAATTTTTCGTAAAAATTGTCATATTTAAAAATGAAAATTTAACAATTAATAACATTTTGAATTTTTAATAATTGTATAAAATTAAAATTATCACTGATTGTAATTAGAAAAATTGGAAAAATTTTGTATACAAATAATACCAATAAAATTTTTTTTTATGACATTATAATGTGTAAAACAAAATTTTTGTTTATAAATTCAATTTAAAAAAAAGAATTTAACGGATACATAAAATACAAAAATTTAAAAAAAAATAATGATATTATTAATTTAAAAAAAAAAATCAAAAATTTTTCAGATTTTTAAGAAAATGAAAATTCCTCAAACAAGAATTCCTGGACAAACGGTAGCAAATGCAGATACAAAAATTGCACTAATCGGATGTGGTCCAGCATCAATTTCATGTGCAACATTTTTGGCTCGTTTGGGGTACGATGATATTACAATTTTTGAGAAAGAAAATTTTGTCGGCGGTTTAAGTACATCGGAAATTCCACAATATCGACTTCCATTCGATGTTGTTAATTTTGAGGTGGATCTTCTTCGAGATTTGGGGGTAAAAATAGAATTTGAACGGAGTCTCTCGGAAAAAGATTTGACTATTCAGGTTTGTATTTTTTTTTTCTCTTATTGTTCACTTTTTATAAATTTATAATACATAATATAGGTATATATAATTGTAATTATTTCTTGGTCAAAATTTCTCAAGAAGAAAAACAATAAATAAAAAAAAAAGTTTATTAAAAATACACAATAAAAAATATAAAATTTTTTTTCATTTTTAGTAAAAATTTCTTTTTTGCGTCTTTTATATAATGCGAAAAAAAATTTCCATTTTATATTTTATTAGAAAATAAAAAGAAAAAGTCTCATACAATGCACAATATTACAATTTAAAAATTTTTTGAAAACTATTTTTTTTTATTTTTATCAAGTTTTATAAAAAATTGAAAGATACAGAATCAATTTTAATTTTTTTTCACACTTCTGAAAAATGTTGATTCTTATATTTATTTATATTGTTCTAGGGATTGAAAAGTTTGGGATATAAAGTCGTATTTTTGGGAATTGGTCTATCGGAGCCAAAATGTATTTCGATTTTTAGCGATTTAACAATTGAAATGGGATTTTTTACGTCGAAAAATTTTCTCCCTTCAGTTGCGAAAGGAAGTAAACCAGGAATGTGTCCTTGCAAAGGCAATAATTTACCAAATCTTTATGGTAATGTTATTGTTCTTGGTGCAGGAGACACGGCCTTTGATTGTGCCACTTCTGCATTAAGATGTGGGGCAAAAAAAGTTTTTGTCATTTTCAGAAAAGGATTCACTAATATTCGCGCTGTTCCAGAAGAAGTAAATTTAAAAAAAAAACATATTTTCTCTTTTCTACTTTAATTTCTTTTTCATTTGTCTCAGAGCAAAATAAATATTTATTTGTTTGAAATAAATTTTATTTGCGCTATATAAAATTTGATTGTGCTAAATAATTTTTTTTTTTTTTTATTTAAAACAAATGAAAAATTATTAGATTCTGGGACAAATAAAATGTTTAAATAAAGTTTTGTTTGTAATGTTTTACTTGTTTTTAGTTTCTATTTGAATCTTTTTTAATTACTAATTTTCTATTTTTGTAATGTACAGATGGAATTGGCACGAAATGAAAAATGTGAATTTATTCCATTTCAATCGCCAAAAAATGTTATAGTACGAAATGGAAAAATAACAGCAATTGAATTTTATCGAACAGAACAAAATGAAAATGGAGAATGGATTGAAGATGAGGATCAAATTGTGAGATTGAAAGCAAATTTTATTATTTCGGCCTTTGGTTCAGGATTATATGATTCTGATGGTATTTTTTTCATTCAAAATTTATTATATTGATTCTTAAATATATACAAATTGATTCAAATTTTAAGAAAATTAAACAAAAAATTTTTTTATTATTTAAATTATAAAAATTCAATTTCTATTTTCTATTTTTTTTTTTATTTTAGTATTTGAATAAATAATTTGTAATTAAATATTTTAGTGAAAAATGCATTGGCTCCTGTTAAATTAAACAAATGGGGTCAACCCGAAGTGAATGTAGAAACAATGGCTACTTCTGAGCCGGGAATTTTTTGTGGGGGCGATATTGCTGGAATTTCTAATACTACCGTTGAATCGGTTAATGATGGAAAAACTGCCTCTTGGTTTATTCATAAATATATTCAAGTAAATAGATATGAAAAAAAACAACAAATTTTTCTTCTTTTATTTTGCATTTATAAAATTGAAAGTTTTAAAAATTTGAAAAACTATTTTCAGGAATCAAATAATTATCAAGTTCCATTGGAACCACAATTACCAAAATTTCACACTCCAATTGATGATGTCGACATTAGTATTGAAATTTGTGGTTTAAAATTTGAAAATCCCTTTGGCTTGGCCTCAGCACCACCGGCAACAAGTAGTTCTATGATACGACGAGCATTTCAGGCCGGATGGGGTTTTACTGTTACAAAAACTTTTTGTTTAGATAAGGTAAAAACTATAATTAACTAAAAAAAAATAATTTTCAAAAAAAATTAAAAAACAATTTTTTTTTTTAATTTAATTCAAAATTAGGATTTTGTCACAAATGTTTCTCCTCGAATAGTAAAAGGAACAACATCCAGACATCGCTATGGACCAGAGCAAGGAAGTTTTTTGAATATTGAATTAATATCAGAGAAAAATGAAATTTACTGGTTAAAGAGTATTTCAGAATTGAAAAAAGATTTTCCGGAAAAGGTAATTTCATTTAAAAAAAAAAAAGTTTTCTTAAAATTTCATTTTTCGTTATTAATTAAAATAGAAAACAATTATTTTTTTTTTTTAACTAAACTTTCTAAATAAAAATTATTTTTAATAATAAATTTCAGATAGTTATAGCTAGTATAATGTGCAGCTTCAATAAAGACGATTGGACGGAACTTTCAAAGAAAGCCGAAAATTCTGGAGCTGATGCTTTGGAATTAAATTTATCTTGTCCTCATGGAATGGGAGAATCGGGAATGGGCTTAGCATGTGGACAGGTTTTTAAAATTATTTTGAAATTTTGAAAAAAGGCATTAAAAAAAATTGAATTAATTTTTAATTCAAAAATTAAAGAAAACTTCACTTTAATTTAATTTTTGTTTTGAACGATTAATTCGAAAATATTAACATTGGTAATTGGTAATAAAAAATTTGAAATTAATATTATAGGATCCAGAATTGGTGAAAAATATTTCCTTATGGGTGCGAGATGCAGTAAAAATACCATTTTTCGTCAAAATAACACCAAATATTACCGACACTGTTGCAATAGCAAAAGCAGCTTTTGAAGGTAAAAAATTTTTTTTTTCGTTTGAAAAATGTTAATAAACTTAATAATCATTTAATATTTTTTTTTTCAGGGAAAGCTGATGGAGTAACTGCAATTAATACAGTTTCGGGTTTAATGGGACTAAATGCAAATGGAGCACCATGGCCAGGAGTTGGTAGAAATAAATTAACAACATATGGTGGAATTTCCGGAAATGCGATTCGACCAATGGCATTGAGAGCTGTTTCTGCAATTGCAAATAAATTACCCGGATTTCCAATTCTTGCCACCGGTGGCATTGACTCGGCTGAAGTAGCTTTACAATTTTTCCACTGTGGAGCTTCAGCTTTACAGGTACTGAAAATTTGCATAATAACTAAAAATTTTAATTTAAAATAAAAAAAAAAAATAATAATAATTTACAAAACAACAAATGTTTATAAATTTATTTGGATTTATATTTGATCCAGATAAATTTTTGATAATTCTTTGTCTTCAATTTACAAGTGAGTAAAAATTTTCAACAGATTTGAGGGTATATAAAATAAAATTGGAAAATTTTGAAAAAAAAAATAGAGTGGTCAAAGTCACTGTCACAATTATTCAGGAAACACCTGATTGAATTAAATTCACAAGTGGTGTCAAAGAATTTTTAACGTGAACATTTAATGAGAAGCATCGAGAGAATTATTTGCAAATTTTTATTACAGTGACACACGACGGTAGGAGGGGAAATTTCCCAAATGGAGCCGGCTTTGCTCAACTACCACTATACGTGACCACGTAAAAACTCTTCGAGTTTTATTTTAATTACTCAATTAAAGTTCAATAATTTCTTTTGACATTTTTTTTTGTGAATTTTAATCCATTTCGCGAGATGACAATCATTTTTTTTTTTTTTTTTTTTTTTTTTTTTATTAATTAGCGAATTATTCTTGGACAGTTTCGGACCACTCGTAATTGTTTCATTAAAAAATTGTCTTTATATACTAAACATGAGAATTTTTCACCGCTTGAGAGAAATTTTCACCTATCGATACCATCTAGAGGGGCAAAAAAGAGTTATTTAAAAAACAAAACAATATATAAGAAATTACATTCAACTAAATTCAGAGTATTCGAATTTTAAATTCAAATGTTTTTAGATTTGCAGTGCAATACAAAATCAGGATTTTACATTAATAGACGATTATGTAACTGGATTGAAGGCACTTTTATATTTACAAAGTTTGGATCAGATGAAATATTGGGATGGGCAAAGTCCTCCAACTATAAAACATCAAAAGGGAAAACCCGTTTCTTTGATACATGCACTAGGAGAAGTATGTTCCCTTTTGCAATTTTTATTTTATTAAAGAATAAAATAGAAATAATTTAAAAACTTTTAATACAAGCACAAACTTGAATTTAATATTGAAATTAATAAAAATTTAAAATAATAATATTTATGAGAAGAAAATAAATTTTCTTTTTTTTAATATTATTTCAGAAAATTCCATATTTTGGAGAATATCAAAAACTCCGTGAAGAAAAAATAGCTGAAATCAAATTACAATCAAATCCTTTATTATTGGAGAAAGAAATTGCACGATCAGTTCCAAAGGCAAATCAATCAGTACCGAGAATAAAAAATGTCATTGGAAAAAGTCTTTCTCAAATTGGAGTTTATAAAAAATTAGATAATAAACAACAAGTTGTTGCTCTAATTGACGATGTAAGTGAAATTTAACAAATTATTATTCAAAAGATACAACTAATTTTTGTCAAGCAAATTAAAATTTAATATCAGTAATTTTAGAAATGAATATAATTCTATAATAATAATTAAATAAAAAAAAATAATATAATTAATTATTGATTATGTAAATTAATAATTATTAATTAATATAGTTAATAATACTGATTTACATTTTACAAAGAAAATATTTAACAGAATTCTTTTTATTTCGTAATCTTGATACCTTGAAAATCATTCTTGCAAAGTATTATAATTTTTTAAAATTAGTCGACGTCTTTAGTCGAAATATCATGAAATGACCCAAATACATTTTTTTCAAGGACATGTGTATAAATTGTGGAAAATGTTACATGGCTTGCGCTGATTCTGGTTATCAAGCAATTACTTTTAACTCGGAAACCCATATTCCAAAAGTGACTGACGATTGTACAGGTTGCACATTATGTCTGTCAGTTTGTCCAATCATCGATTGCATAACGTAAGTTCAATTAACGTAAAAATTTTTATAATTTAAAAAATATATATTTGTTTTTTAAAATGAAATATATTTTTTAAATAAACGTTTCGACTATTATTCGATAATTATATATTCACACAATAAATAGAAAAGGAAGTGGTTTTTTTTTGAGACGATTAAAGTTTATCAGTGAAGAGAATTATTTTGTTTTTATCCTTCAGACTAAATTTTTGTTATTTAACATTGAATGGCAAAGGAAACATTTTCTTTTAATTTTTTTCTTTCTATAAATTTAAAATTTATTTTTGTTTAATCCTTTTAAAACCTTTAATAATAATAATAATAATAATAATAATAATAATAATAAACTAATTTGTTTTATGAATAAAAAATTATTAATTACACCTATTATTCTAACAAGGTTTTTTGCAAGATCATTAAAGTTATCAGTAGATGGAAATATTTTGTTTTTATCTATCGGAAACTAATTGTTCTCATTTTTTCAAAAGATCTATAAAAATAAGACAAAGGAAACGTTTATTTAAAGCAAATATTTTTACCACATATTATAAGATTTTAGTATTTTACTTAAAACATGAAAAAAATTGGTATATTGGATTAATACTGTAATTTAAAATTTAATTTTTAGAATGGTTCCAAAAACAATACCTCATATCATCAAAAGAGGAATTCAAATAAAAAAGTTGGAATTAGATTCTTCAGAAATGTTTAATCACAAGTTGGACTAGGAAACTTTTTTTTTTACACCTTCCGAAATAATCATCCTTCTTCCACAAAAAATAATTTGTAAAATTATTTTACCTGAAAATAAAATTTAATTTTATAAACAATATAAAGAAGAAATATTGAATATAATTTAACAAAATGTTACTTACAACTTTTCAGGAACAAGAGAAAGATGAATATCACTAAAGTAAAATAATAATTTCATAACGTACTATTTTTTAAATTAATAAAATCCACCAAAGTGAATGAAACCACAATTATTATTAAATTTTAAAATTGCATTCCAAATAATTTCATATATCATTTTTTAAAAAATAATTTATATTCTATAATTTATTTATATATTCTTATTTAAAATTTTATAATAATAACAATAATTATTATTTATTATTAAATAAAAATTCAATTTGGCACATCTTTTCGACCGAATTAAATTGTTCTGATTTTTTTTTCTTTTCTATTTTTTTTTTTTTTGAATTTATTAAAAATCTGGATTGTCAAACCATTGCATGGCGATATTTTTCGTAGTGTCTATTTCATATTCTTTACATTTGCTTCTTGCAAGACGTAAACTAAAAAAAAATTCAACACATTATTATTTTTTTTTCTTTTTTTTGAAAAAAAGATGTAAAAGATTTATGTATATTTGTGCAATATTTTTTGTAAAATATGTTTCAAAATATCAACAATAAATGACAGTTTTTCTTCACAAATTTCAATGATAATTTTTTTATTATCACTTTGAAAAATTCAGTGAATGAGAATTTTTTTTTGAAAAATCGATTGTTAGTGATTCAATTTAAATGGAATAATTTTTAACAAAAAATAAACAACTCACTGTCCATATTTGCGACAAGTGGCAGGATATTCCATCTTAAAACACTGAGGTCTCAAAATATTGAAATAAGTTATTCCAATTTTTGTAGCTATCACAGAATGAGCATTTTTTAAACATTCATGAAATTCTTCGTCACAAGTGCAATGGGACCTGAAAAGTCCATTTATCATTTTATGTCATCATTGGTCGGATGTTTGAAATGAAATAGGAATTAAAAAACTTGCCTAGTGAACACACCATCGTTACGAAGACCTTTATTGGATCTACCCGCTTGAAGGGAATAACTACAATTGTCATGACTCCTGCAACAAGCGTCTGTGACTTTAAAAAAACCAACTTCTTCAGAATTCGTTGCTAAGTGACCTGCACCACACCATAAAGTACCTAAAAACCATCAAAAAAAAATTTTAATTAAATTCAAAACTATACAAAATTATAAATTTCAGTAAATTTCTACACAAATGAATATATGTAATTAAATCAATATTTGTAAATATACAAATATTAACTTAATTACATATTCATTTCGATCAGAAATTTTTAAAAACAACTTTCTAACGGTTTTCTTTTTATCTCAATCGTAATTACATGTTTAATATAAAATGAATACATTTATTATGTAAATACTTGTAATTTATCATTTGCCTCCAAAAATAACAATTTAAAATTTTTTAAATCGAATACATTAAACTAATGGAATATTATCCAAATTACATCCATAATTTAAAAAAAAACAAACTTTTTTTCGCACTTGCGGTTAATCATTCGAAAATTAAAATAAGAAAAAAAAATAAATTCTTTTTTTTCCTGTTCACAGATTTGGCGAGTTCCTGTATCATTTGCATTTCAGGAATATTGAATTATAAATGAAGTTTTTGGAATAATACCAAAGTAGCATTTACTTTATATTTTGAGCTAATCTTTTCGTATATTTTATCGCCAATTATTATAAATATTATTATATAAATATTTAGATTTTTTTAATAAATAAATAATTAATGTTTTTTTATAAAAAAAATTTTTTTTTTAATTACTTAAAAAAGAGAAACTAAAATTAGCGATTAATTAATTATAATTTCAAAATTTAACATTAATGTTATTAAAAATTCATTCAATCAATAATAAAAAAAAAAAAATAATAAATAATTTCACCTGGATAAATAGCTTGAAAATGATCTGTTATTAAATTAAGTATATCTCCAAATCCTGTACTTCTCATTGATCTTTCTCCTGATTTTGTATTACGATTAAAAATACTTGTAATCGGTCTCGTTATTTCACTTAAAATTTTATCCATTCCACTTCTTCTGATTGTATCACTACTTCTTCCTGTTATAATTCCTAATCCCGTCATAAGATGTTTTATTAATTTTTCCGCTGGTGGAACATATGTAGGAACTTCATCAATTCTATTATCTATATACAGTTCAGTATTTTCATCAGCATTTCTATAATTCATTGCAGTTGTTTCCGCAAAATCATAATCAATTTCACATTTTATTTCATTGTTGACTAATAATAAAGCGAGAAACGTCAATTTCCTTATCAGCATTCTAAAACAAATTTTACTAATGACAAAAAAAAAAAAAATAATGAATTTGATTGTTTTTCTATTTTTGTTTCATTGATAAAAAAAAATATTTATTCAAAAAAATCATTTTATATTTGAAATTTAAAAATTTCTTTACTTTTGCGTATAAAAATTAAAATTTTAAATAAAAATAATTTTTCTAAAATTGAAAAACATTAAATTCACAAGATTTCTTCGAAAAAATAAATTGTATAATTTGTGAATACAAAAAAGGAAAATGAACAATGGAAAAAAAAGAACAATAAAATGAATCACACAAATTGTTGCAAATGATTCAAACGTTGAGATTTTTATATACAGATTTTAAAGTTCATAAAAGCATACTTTTTTTTTTTCTTTACGAAACAATAGCAAAACATATAAAATGATAAATTTAAAAATTTTGAAAAATTATAAAATAATTTTCCATGCCATTTTAATTGGCGAATGAACGATACAAAATATAGAAGCTTGTTAAAACCTTTCACTAATGAATTATTTGTGCAATTGAAAAAAAAATCTTTTCGTTAGCGCAATATCCTTCTAAGGTGAGTTTCAATTAACAACTATAAGTCTTGCACATATTAAAGAGTGTTGAAATTTTGAAGAAACCTACGCGGTGCAAGTCTTTAAAGGATATTTATATGTTTCGCCAATTAAGATAAAGATGTGGACTCTCTTCAAGGTAAATAATTTTAAATTTCGATCGTGAACTTTTGTTACCGTGAATTTCATTTGTAATTTTAATATACATAACTAATCAATTATCGACAAAATTTAATTAACTTTTTTTTTTTTATTAATTAAAATATAATTTTAAAAAATTGTGTATTCTCATTATATAGGCAAATTTAAATTTATTCAAAAATTAGAAATATTGAAAAAAAAATTAATTTTAGAATTATTTTTTAAATTTTGAATTTACAAGTCACAAGACTTGTTTACGAAATTGTTTTTTAAAATTATAGTACAAAAATTTAATAATTTTAAACTTGAATTTAAAAAAAAAAATTTATTTTTCTAATAATATGCAACTTATTGTGAGAAAAATAAAAATTGAATATTCTAAATTTGGAATTTTTATATATTTAAGAGAAAAATAAAAAAATAATATTAAAAAAATGATTTGGAAGACTCACTCTTAAAATGGTTGTTTATGTTTTGGTGGTCGAGTTGTAAATGTTTTCTGTTAAGCCAAACTTCTCTGTATATGTATTCGAATAGCGAGCAATAACTCGGAAACTAATTATCCTTCCACGACAAATGTCAAGGTCATCCACTTGTCCTAGGTCAAGTTGAGATTTTAGTAGTTGATGTGAAAAATCACCTTGAAAAAAATACCCGCATCCAATCTCTCAATGTATTAAAAAAAAGAAACCACCGGAAGTGAAGGTGAATCTTGCAAGAGTCGCGAATTGTTTGTGCTCCCCAGAACATATCCAATTTTCTTTTATACCATGATAATCGCGGGAATAAACTTGAATGATCCGCGTCACTATAGCTTTGTATTCACATTCAAATATATCTTTCCCTCCAACATTGTATCGAACACGGAAAACAACCCTTAAAAAAAAATAAAATTATTTTCTGTAAATATAAAATAAAATATAAATAATTTATTATAAATTAAATAAAAAAAATATAAATATAATAAATTATAAATATGTCATTAATAATAACACTAATAACTAATTAATTAATTATTTAAATATTAACAATAATATAACAAAAAACAATTATCTCCATTGTAAATAAATACAATAAAATATAATAAAAATGTTTAATTAACAATAAAAGGTTGATATTTTTTTTATCAGCTTATTGATATTCAAAGTAAAAAAAAAAGAATCCATTGGAATCGATAATTAAACAGCAAAAAATGATCAGGATATGCACAAATTCAAAATAATTTATGTTGACACAGCTTTTTGCAACTGCCGTATCTTTTCTCTGTTTTTATTGGGCAACGACATTTAAGATGAATTTCATTATTATTAATATATTATACTTTTTTCCTCGAATCATTTGTCTAAAAGTAAAATTAAATGACAAAATTCGTTGGTAAGAAAAAAGAGAAAAAAAAATTTTTTTTTTTTTGCAAACATTTGTCGCACCACCTGTTCAAAAAAAGAAGGTCAATGAATTACGATAAAATTCGTTGTTTTATAAAAAAAAAAATCATAAACATTGAAAGCATATTATTGACATAGAGAATATTTATCTGAAAAATTGGGTCAAGTTTATGTTTCCATATATTATGTAAGACTCGAACTATGAGTCAAGAGTAAAAATCTCTCGTTCGACGCACTCCAAATCCCTTTCTCTTCTCTCTGGAATTTACAATAAGAAACAGTGTATAATAAAAAATTTATAAAGTTACACATATAAAAAAATAACAATCTTTGTATGAAAATGTTTATCAATTAATGAATGAACTTGCAGTGACTATTGATTTTATAATCATAATGATTAGAAGAAAAAAAAATGATTTAACACAAATTGAAAATTTAATTAAAATCAAACAATAGGTTATTTGATTTATTGTCATTTCAAGAATAAATTAATAATAATTAACAATAAAAAAAATACGATTTCGTGAAGTTAATCAACATTAATAAAAATTCATTAATCACATTGAATTTTTCTTTTTAATATCGATAAATAATTATTATTAAAATACAAAAAGTTAAACGACGAGTAGAAAATGAATTTTTTTTTTATATAAATAGATTAACGTGTGTATTTAAATAAATTTCTAAATAACGTTATTCGTGTATATACAAATTATAAAAGCTTTGATATTATATACATATATTAAATGATGCTTTTTAGCTAAGAAATTTTTTCTTTGTCAAAATTTACGATATCGATTCGATATTATCGTAATCCAATTCGATTGCTTTTTCGTCAATTGTTCTATCTTGTAAGGAACGACGTTGTTCAATTCGTAGGCATTTTGAACAACGATGATCACGTTTTGTCCAGCAAATTCGATGATGCACAGCTGAACATTTGTGACAAGAAATTGCACTAACGTCCCAGGGAAATATTACCTCGTCGTTTCCACACAATTCGCAAAGATGTCCTCTGTAATGCATAAGTTATCAATAATGACATAATACAAATTAAATATATATTCTTAAATTATTCTTACTCTTATTATTATTATTATTATTTAATTTTTAATATAAATACTTAATATTACTTATTTTATTAATTAAAATACTATTTATTAATTTGAATTGAATTAAAAAAAAAACTCACCTCCCTTTACACAGTACACAAGAATTTGTAATATGATTACGCATACTCTCATGTGCAGTGCGAAGCTCTTCCATTAAAACTCCATTTTGCAAATCCACGAGATCTTTCACAGAATAATTTCCAGGATTTTCTAAAAAATGTGTTCTCAGGCCCACTCGCCAAGGTAAGCCTTGATTATTCGCTTCAGGACAAAGTACCAAATATTGTTTCATCATTTGCACCTCTTCCCGAAGTCGCTAAATAAAATTCGGATACTTTATTATTAAATTATTTTTTTTTAAATATATTTCTAATCAGTGTTTTTTGAAAAAAAATTCAAGGTTCAAAATAAATCTTTTCAAGATGCGCAGAAACTATAAAATTATTATTTTTTTTCTTATAATAAAGTAAGCTTTTTTAATTTTTTAAGAAAGAAAAAAATACGACAATTTTAGAAAGAAAAATAGAAAATTTAAGGTAATAGAACGTTCCATAATTTTTAAATTAAAAAAATATATATTCTTGTAGAATATTTTAATAATTTAAAGTTTTGTCAAAAATTCAAGAAATTTCCAGATTTTTCAAGATTCAAAAAAAAATTCAAGGTACTTTTTAAGGATTTTAAGGTCCACTGGACACCCTGATAATATATCGGAATATTGTGAAAATATTTCACAAGTGTGTAAAAAAAAAATATTCCTTTGGAAGGAAAGAAAAAAATAATAATTATAAATACCTTGACGATAGACATGTCAGGAACAAGTGTAAAAAGTTTTGGATTCAATTCCTCAAGAAGTAACACTGGTCTCTCGAGGAGTAAATTTAAAAGTTGAGAAGCAGCACGACAAACACGTCGTGGTTCCATGTCCCAATTTCTTATAACCCTCGCGGGAATTACTGCGTACGTGTTCCAATGACATTTTTGACAATAATATAATCCACTGTAATCGCAAAGTCGAGGTTCGACCCACGTTGATTCTGCAAAAAATTTCAACAACAAAAAAAATTAACAAAAAACTTTTAAAAATGTCTTTATTAATTAATACTATTTATTATTTAATAAATTAATTAATTATTTTAACAAATATACTAATTACTATAAAGAATAATTCAATTAATTTAATTAATAAATTTAATGAATAAATTCAATTAATTATATTATTGAAGAAATTTTATTAATTATTAAAATTATTTCAGTATTTAAAATATTTAAATAGTATTTACTGACTGTCATATACCTGTGTAACTGAAAGGACTGACGAAACATAACAATGATAATCCTTTTGAGTTAGCTTGTAATAAAAATGCACGCATAAAAAATATTCATGACGGGTGGTATAAAAAATTTCATTAAAAAAAAATAAAAATGTTCCACAATTAATTAAAAGAATAATAATAATCAATACTTACTAAAAGTGATTCGAGTTTTACATTCTGCACACCTGTATCCTTGAGCAGAAAGTCCACGTTCTGGGCAAATATCTTTAGTGTAAGTGTATCCTCGTACTTCGCTTGCTATTACATGAACGCAAACACGACAAATGCTGTTTAAACATTTCCAATGACAACAAAATCCACAATCTGGCAACAATCAAAATTTATTCAATGAATCATGTAAAACATTTTTTTTTTTAAACAAATATTTTTAAAGCCTAGATACCAATTGCAAACAGTTTTCAAAACTAGAATATTTATTTATGAATAAAAATAAGGAAATAAAAAATTAATAAATCTAAATTAATAATTGTGAATTAAGAATTCTAATATTAAATATTTACCATTACACATATACCAAGATTGTAACATGGTCCAAATTCCTCCACTACAATGATCACAATAAACAGAACCAGAAATTGGAATTTGATATTTTTGTGGTACAAAATGATGTCCCAAAATCACAAGAGTTTCCAAAGTAGCCTCATTTGATTTTTCACGAATTTCTTGAACTCTCAATCTTAATTCAATTAGTCGTCTCACTAACCATTTTCTTTCATCCGAACATTCAGCACTATCCAAAACCATTTCTTTACACTTTTCAACCATTTGTTGAAGTTCATCTTGAGTAATTGCCTAGAATTATAAATATATTATAAAAGAATCTTGCAGATTCTCTCTTTTTTTTAAAAAGAGAAAATTTTGTTTTTCGCTATATAACAAGTTTTTTTTTTTTTTTGATAATTTTGCAAATCATATTTTATAAATTTGTTAGAAGATTTTATACATATTTTCCAAGTTTTTTTAAAATTTTTTATCCTCACCTTCGAAAGTGATAATAAATTTTCCACTGATTTTAATGTACATGGCACTGTTCCTCTACTGTCTGAACTATCATCTCCTTCACCATTTATATAATCAGATGTAGAAGACGGAGTCGATGTACCAGTTCCCGAACTGTCTGTTCTTGTTCTTGATCCAAACTGACAGTCACTCATTTTTAGTTTTATTTATTTTTTTTTTTAAATCACTCCTATAAATAAATTTTTATTAAAAATGTAAATTTTGCAATTTGCCCTTTAAAATTTTGTTAATTAATTTTCATCTAATTAGCAATTCATTTGCCTTGATGGAATTTTTTCGAAATTATTAAAAAGTAGTCATTATTTATTAAATAATATTTATATATAATATATAAAATAATAATTAAAATAAACAAATTCCAATAAAATTTACATTTTGAAAACAGAATGAAAAGTAATCGTTGTACTTTTGAGGTTAGAATAGAGATTTGTATTACGAAATAGATATCGAGTATTAATAATTGAAAATTCATATTTTTTGTTAAGAAAAATATTAAAAACTATCACTTTTACCTGTTTAAGTTTAAATTTCCGCTACATTCTTTGTTGTTTTCTTATAAATTTAGTTTATCGTTTGACAGCTCTGTCTGACACCACTGACGTAATTAGTCACATGATCATACCTTGCGCATGCTCCTAGCAGAAGGAAATTGTTTTGACAGCTGATATACGAAAGCATTATTTTTCATAATATTATTTTAATTCCATTAATTAATTAATGCCTACTTAAAAAAGTAATATTTCTATAAACAATAAATAAAGTATATTTAATATCGGACAGTGTTTATATAAATAAAAATTTTTTCTCCATACAAATAGAATTATCGAAATGGTTTTTTATTTTAAAAAGTGAGGTTATATTTTGACGCTATTTAAAAACATTTATAAATTTTATTTACTATCCCCTAAGTGTTGTTTTTCAATCATGAAGAAGACAATCACCTTTGGAAAAATTTCCACCAATTTAATAAAAGATTCTACAAAAGAAGAATCTGAAGCCACAAGTTCTGGTTTTGGTACATTTGGCAAAAAACCTGTGGAACAAAATATTGTTACAATAAACGAAATTCTACCTGAGGAAGAGGAGGAAACGGAAAAAATGAAAAGAATAATGGGCATGACTTCATTTGGCAGAAAAGCCAAATCATTTGATGTTCAGGAGATGATGGAAAATATTGTCAAAACTGTGAATGCAAAGAAATTAGAAAAAAAGACGTAAGATTTTAAAAATTTATTTCAATTTAATTTAATAAGTAAAATTAAAAACTATTTTTTATATCATAAATTTAAAAAAGTAAAATTAAAATCTATTTTTTATATCATAAATTTAAAAAAGTAAAATTAAAATCTATTTTTTATATCATAAATTTAATAAATTAATCATTATGAAAATTCTTTGAACAGTGAAGGAGAAGAAGAAAAAGCGAAGAAAGAATCCGGAGAAGAAGAAGACGACGACGAAGAAGATGATTTTATTGGTCCACCTCTTCCATCGTCAATTATTGAGGAAAATAAAAACAAACTCTCTGAGTCGAAGGAAAAAACAAAAAAGAAATCAAATAAAAGCGACGATGATGAGGATGACGAAGACAGTGACAATGATTCCGAAGAAGAAGAAGAAGAAGAGGAAGAACAAAGTTTAATAAGCAAAATTCCCTGTAGTCACGAGGTGACAATGACTCATGGAGTGAAAGCAATTACAGCAATTGCCGCCGATCCTTCAGGAGCACGACTTGCATCCGGTTCTATGGATTATGATGTTTGTTTCTGGGATTTTGGTGGTATGGATTCTTCATTACGAAGTTTCAGAACTCTACAGCCATGTGAAAATCATCCCATCAAGTGTCTTCAATATTCCATGACTGGAGATGTAATTTTAGTAATTTCCGGAGCAGCTCAAGCAAAGGTATTGGATCGAGATGGTTTCGAAAAATGTGAAACAGTCAAGGGCGATCAATATATCACCGATATGGCACGAACAAAGGGACACGTTGCCGCTTTAAATTGTGGATGTTGGCATCCATTTATTAAAGAAGAATACATGACTTGTTCCCAAGATGGTACCTGCAGAATCTGGGTGCTAAACAAGTAAATGTTTTTTTGTTTTTTTTTTTATTATAACAACATTAAATTATTATAATTAAAATTTAGTCAAATAAAAATATTGTTACATAAAAATTTTATGTATAAGCAATATTTAAATAATATGTAGACAGTAAAAAAATAAATAGACAATGCTAATTGAAAATTGAATTTACAGGCCTCGAGGACACAAGGCTGTTATCAAATGTAGAGCACAAAATGGTGTCAAAACAATTCCAACAACATGTGCATATAGTCGTGAAGGAAATGTCGTTGCATGTGGCTGTGTTGATGGATCAATTCAAATGTGGGATCATAGAAAAAATTTTGTGAATCCTTCGCTAATTAATCGACACGCACATCAATCGGGATCAGAAATTTCCAGTTTAAGTTTTTCCTATCTTGGTCATTTATTGGCATCAAGAAGTTGTGATGATTCAATTAAATTATGGGATTTACGTTCATTTAAAACACCACTTTCTGAGGCAACAAATATTTTCTCACGCTACGACACCACCGATTGTATGTTCAGTCCTGATGATTCAATGCTCATTACTGGCGAATCATTAACAAGAAATGCAAAATCAGGTCGTGTCTTATTTTTCGATACAAAAACATTTGAATTGATAAATGAAATTGATGTGACTAATTCACATGTTATTAAAACTCTATGGCATCCAAAATTAAATCAAATTTTCGTTGGTTGTGGCAATGGTATTGTTAAAGCGTATTATGATTCAAATAAAAGTATGCGAGGAGCAAAATTATGTGTTGTAAAAACAAAACGTAAACAAAAGCACATTGAAATGGTGTCGACACAACAAATTATCACACCACATGCATTGCCATTGTTTAGACAAGATCGTCCAAAATCAGTGAGAAAACAAATGGAAAAAGATCGATTAGATCCAGTTAAATCGAGACGACCGGATTTGCCAATTACTTCGGGACAAGGTGGTCGTGTCGCATCATCAGGTGGTACACTTAGCTCTTTTGTTATTCGAAATCTTGGTCTTAGTAAGAAAATTGAGGACGATCAAGATCCAAGAGAAGCAATTCTTAAATATGCAAAAGAGGCCGAGGAGAATCCCTATTGGATTGCGCCTGCTTATAAAAAAACGCAACCAAAAACTATTTTCATCGATGACGAATCTGGTGAACCTTCGAATAAACGTCAAAAACAGTAATTTTACTATTGTAAAATTGTTAATTCATTGTAAATAAAGACATTGGTATTATTTTGAAAATACAAACATTGTAATTAGAAAATTATGACAACCCCCCACTGTTCTTTTGGTTGTTTCTTCTATACTTAAAAAAAGGAATTTCCCACAAAGATTTTTGTTAATTATTATTTACACCTAAATTTCCAGGTAACAAATGGTATAAAAGAATTACTATCTTTATCATTTATCTTAAACAACTGACGCCAATGTCTGGAAAAATAAAAATATCAGAAAAAGTACAATAATATAATCGTGAATGATATGAGAATAAAAAAATATATATACATATTTATTTTAAACAAATGGAACATTTTTTTAAATGGATGCTTAAATAAACGTACAAAGGCAACATGATTATTTACAATTTTTTTTTAAATAAATAATTAAATATTAATAATTAAATTGATAAATATGTTTCTTTAGTAATATTTTCAGTAGAATTGGACGGTGCGGCATCGATTAAAAATACAATTTTTTTTCCATATGTTTAAAATAATTTTTGAAAATATTAACGTCGAATATTTTAATCGGAGTGGCTATTTCGCCCGTCGAAATGAATGTGTTTTAGAAGACGGGCAAAATAAGAAAAATAAATTATTTCGCCCGTTCAAGATAAAATCGAGTATCTGGAAGACGGGCGAGTATATTATTTCGTCCGTGAAATGTTTAAACAAAAACGGGCGAAATAATCAAAATACAATATTTAGCCCGCTAGGTATAAACAGCTGTTGTATATTTCAATTTACAAACTAAAATTATTTTAACTTTTATTTTGCAATTTATGTTAAATATCATATATTTGATAAACAAATTTGATGGTCTCATTAATTTTTTGTGTTTCGATAAAAAAAAGGGTTTTTCTGATTTCTTTCTCAGCAGAATCATGGTTTTATATATCAATGTGAGATTATACTCCGTATAGTATATTCTTTAAATATTGAAAACGACGGTGCGTTGTTTGAAAATCTATTTGGTATCGAAAGTAGTTCATATGACATTCTTTATTTTGATTGTCTTCAATTTTATTTACTCGTTGAATTTAGAGATGCAAATATACAAAAATTTCAGAAATAGTCGATTTTTGAATTCTTATTTAAATTACAAAATTAAAATCCACAATTTTTATTACCAAAGTTTAATAAACAAAATTAAAAAAAAAATTTTTTTCATTTTTCATGAAAAAAATTTTTTAAAATGATTTTTTCAATTTTTAAAGAAAAATTTTTTGCCATTTTTTCGTCAACAATTTTTAAAAGAAAAATTTATAAAAAATATTAAAAAATATTATTAATTATTTGAAAAAATATTAATATTTTTAAATCGATGACAATCAATTTTAATTGTTTTCGACTTCAACATTGTAATTTTAATTAGTTAAATTTAATAATTATATAATTTATAATTTTAATATTAGATTAATTTTTTTATAATTTTAATTATATTTATTTACCATTACTATAAAATATTAAATTTTTTTAATTATTTAATAAGAGTAATTAATACCTCTATAAATATATTAATTTTTTTTCCAATACAATTTCTTAGATAAAATAATTATTATTCTTTAAAGTCACGTCTCAAAAACGTGTAAAATAAATATTTGAAAAATCTTTAAGTTAATATAATTACAAACAAATTTTATGTTACAAATATTCTCAAAACTTTAATTAATAAAATTTTTTGAAAAAAAAATAGAAAATAATTAAGTATTAATTTTAAGAATTTAAAGAATTTTTAAGAACTTTTTTTTTATTTAAATTTCTTCTATTTTATTAAACCAAATACTCCAAAAGATATAAATAAATAATATTAGACCTATACTCAGACGTCTTTTTTCTATCCATCTTATTTGTTATATTTAAAAAAAGTAAAATTATTTTTTCTCATTATCTAAAAAACAGCTGTCTATACTTAACGGACGAAATAATATACTCGCCCGTCTTCCAGATACTCGATTTTATCTTGAACGGGCGAAATAATCTATTTTTCTTATTTTGCCCGTCTTCTAAAACACATTCATTTCGACGGGCGAAATAGAAACAGCCTATTTTAATTTTATCCACTGTCCTTATTACCAATAATGCTTTTTTGATATTTATTCTTCTGGGTATAGATGTTAATGGGTTTATTACCAGCTTAATTCTTCTTAATTACCTTCGTCTTCTTTATCAGTGGTCTGTAGTCGTCTCACTAATTATACCTAAGGTAAAAATGATGTTCAAATCCTTCGCAGGACTATTACCTGTGAAAATTCCCAAAATTTTACCCTAAAATAGGACCAATGAAATTTGAGAATGAATCGCACATGCGTAGAAATATGGTCGGCTCCGAACCATTTACAACTACACAAAAATTTTATCATTTGTGAATGTGATCATTTTGTGTACAGAACTCCGTTTAGCATCAGCAGCAGCAACAATCAACATTGAATCAGCATTCTAACCTAGAAGTGAACATTTACTACAAAAAATATTGTAGTATTTTTAAAGAAAACTAAATTTCTAGTTGTTTTTTTTATTGTTTATTTGAAAAAGTAGAAATTACTTTAATTAATTTAATCAACTAAAATACAGGTAAATATTTCATTTTTGTTATTAAAATTAATAATAGAAACTATGTTTTTGGTATTATGTGTTGTTTATATATCCTTGTTTTTTCTGTATTTATTTAACTATCATTTTTTTTAATGTTATTACTATTTTGGAATTTCATACTATTTTGATTACATTTATTTATTATTTTTGCTTTGTATACTAATTATTAAATAGATGTTATACATAACCAATATACATATATGTATATTAATTATTATATTTATTCTTAATTATTTAATTCTTTATTATTATCATTAAATTTATTTTTTTTATGATTAATTACTAATTCCATATTAAATTTTCTTGTTAGGTATTTTTTTAAAAATCTAGTTTTTAAAAAAGTTATTTTTCAAAAAGTGTCTAGTATTAAACATTGAGAGTTATCAAAAAGTTATAAATTTCTTAATTTTTTATACATAAAAATGATGAAATTAAAAAAAAAATATTCTTTTTTAAAACAATAAAAAAATGTTGAAATTTTTCGAAGCGTGTAACATTTTTTTAAACATTCATAAAAATTTAGAATTTTTGTTAACTATTTATTACTTTATTAACCAACAATTAAAATTCTATTTAAGTATTGAATTTAATTTACTAAATATTTAATTTTCAAATTTTTATATAAAAAAAGATTAATTTTCAAGTGTTCTTATATTTAAATTACAGAAAAGAAATATTCATTTTTTTTAACTTCAAAAGATAGTTTAACAATAAAATATTAATATATTTAAAAACTAGTTATTTTAAAATATTACCACAAAAGAAAAGTTAATGCACCGACTATTATGTTTTTTTTTATAACTTATTTGCTGAACACCCTTACGAATGGAAAATTAATCTAATCTTTTGATATTAAATTTCATGCAAGTCATCTTTTCAGGTACAAAGTAATTCACGTTTATGTTGCAATAGTAATTTTTTATTTTTATATCTTAAATGATTTAATTTATAGTCTATTTATTAATAAAAATAAAAATTTTATTACTCAATAATGTGAAATTGTAAATTTTGCTTCCAGGATGTATGGTGGTTACGAAAATAATCCCAGCTCAGTACTTATTTGTCCATATAATAATCAGCACAAAATAGCAAGATCAAAATTTCCAACTCATCTTATAAAATGCGAAGCGGTAAAATTTATTATTATATATAATATAAATTATATTTAAATATTTTTTCGATTTAATCAAACATTTTAGTTCAATAGAAATTTTGCTGCCTTAAATAAAAAACAATTATTTTACATTTTAGTTGAGATTATTCTGTTAACAAGAAAAAATAATTTGTTGTCAAAGAAAATATTTTTTTTATGGTATTATATATTTATAAAAAAAATGTAGAATTAAATACCTGATTCTGAAATTCATTTTCTTTTTTTTTAGAATTATCCATCGAATTATTTGGAAATTTGTCCATTTAGTGCCTCGCATCGATTTCCTAAAGCAGAAATAGAGAAGCACGTGTCTTCATGTCCCATGAAGAGAATCGTTGATCTTGCTTTACATGAAAGTAAGTAAATAGTAAATAATTTTTAAAATTGTATAAAACAATATTTCAAAAATTAAAAGAAATTAAAAAGGAAAATTTTATTTCTTTACAATTTTTAAAGATTTTTCATTTCATGATTCATTAATGATATTAATTTATTTATTAACAATTTTTTAATTAAATTTTTAATATTAAAATCATAATAATTAAAATTAGTGCTGCCCACGAGACCGAGACTGGTCTCGGTCTCGTTTCGTATCGTCTCGGTTTTTCGAGACGAGACCGAGACGAGACCCATCTTGGATAAAACGAGACGATACCGATACTAAATTTCACGAGACCGAGACTCTCGACGATATTTTTAAAAAATTAAAGAATAAATTAAAATATTATTATGAGACTTTATATATTATTTTTAATTTAATTGATTAATTTCTATAATTCATTAACAGACAAATATCTTTTAACTAAACATTTTTATATTATATTTTTTATTTAATAGTTTTCTTGAATTTAAATGTTACGCCAAAAACTAGTAATCAATGTCTAGCATAAACCTAATTGAGCATAATACTGTCTTTTATGAATATTAATCATTAAGTTTTTGTTAATTAAATTTTTAATATTTAATTTAAAAATAATTATTAAAGTGATTAATAAATTAAACAAAATTTACATAATAATAAATACTATTTTATGCACATTTTGTATAACAAGTAAACAACAAAAATAAAATTTAATAAAACTGACATACAATTTTTAATTTTTATTTGAAGCTAGTTAAATAAAAAATTTATAATTTAATTTTTCTTTTTTAACTTTTGATACTTTCTATATCATTTTCTTTAACTTAACTCTAAATTATTCGCATTACGGCAAGTAGATGGATACATCTACTTGCGAGACCGAGATCGAAATCATGTTTTCCGAGACTGCTGAAAATTCAACGAGACCGAGACCGAGACCGAGACCACACCTTCCGAGACCGAGAACGAGACCTAAAATTTTAATATTTAACGAGACCGAGACGATACTATGTATCGTCTCGTCTCGTGAGCAGCACTAATTAAAATTATATGCAATTACATAATTGGATCAATATTTTTTATTTTTTGTGCACTTTTTTAGGTAGTGTATGCTCTAACATTTATGGAGGATCAAGAGCAAATATGGAATTAAGAACAACAATTGATTTAATCGAATATTGGAGCGAAGATGAAGACGATTCTGGCTTTGGATCAGTATCATCAAACTCTCCAACTGTAAAAGATGCTAATAAATTAAATGTTTCAAAAAGTGACGAAGACAGGTATGAAATTAATTTGATTTTTTTCATAAAAAAATTTTAAACGTTCAAATTATTGTTTTAACATTGCACAATTAAAAAAGTAGAAATTTTCTGTTCAAATACTTCATTTTTACATTTAATTTGCCTGATTCATGTAATTAATTTGAGAGAATGGACCAGTAAAATTTTAAATATAGTAAAATACTTTTAAATTGTTCTTTATAAATATTTGAATTTCAAGAATTGTCAAAAAATATTTTTTTTTTCTTTTTATTTGAATTCTAGTAATTATTTCTTTTAATTTCTTCTTGTCTACGATTTTCTATTTTCTTTAATTATTATCAATTTTTCCTTTAAATTTTCAATTTTTTTGAAATTTCAAAAATTTATTTATATTTATGTTTACTTTTATAAACTGGCTTCAAAATTTTCTTTTTATTTTGCTTATTTGTAAAATTCTCAATTTTTCTTTTCTTAAATGTTCTATTTTCTGTGTATTTTCTCAAAAATTTTTGTATTTTTTTTTCCTTTTTATTTTTTTTTTCAATTCTCTTTTTATTTTAGGAATATGATTCAAATTTATGTATAGCATTATGAAAAAAATAATTTTTCAAATGAAAGTTTTGACAAAAAATGATAAACAATGAAATAGAAAATCTAATACTTAAAAATTAAATCAAGTGGAAATTCTATAAAAGAAATTTTGGTTAATTAAAAAGTATAATAAATAAAAATTGAATTAAATAGATATTTAACTAAATATAAATTTAACTGGATTATTTTTTTTGATGATATAAGTATTGAATTATTACTAAGATTTGAATTTTGTCATCTAAATTTAAATTTCTTCTTTCAGTTATAATAAACCTCTCAGAGCACCTCATGGATATGGACAAGTGAGACTAATGGACGAAGATGATGAAGATGATGAAGATGATGATAATGATGATGATGACGATAACTTTTCGCCAAAAAGTTATATGGGAATGGGACGAGGGAAACCATTGCTTAGCCGTAATGAAATACTTAAAAGTTTTAGTAGAGGCAGAGGCAAAATGTTAAATCTTCCTTAACATTTTTAATAGCTTTCTGTATATTAGCGGAAATATTTTTGTACAATACGATTTTTATGTGATAACATTGTTAAATAATCGCAAAATATGCAATTTATGTATGCATATTTATATTTTATCAAAACTAATGTTTACATATTTTTTTTTTTTTTTTTTGACAACTTTTGAAATTCACCAATTTATAATGTAGATATTTAATCTACATTTTCTTGTTTAATTTATATATTATATTTAAATGTAAGTTTTAATCAATGTTTTTTTAAAATTTTATTCTAATTTTGATTTAAATTTCTATTTAGATCATGATTAAAAGATCTATAATTTTCTAGATCATTTTACAATATAATATTGTAGTTTATATAATCTATATTTACATTGTATTATAATTTTGTAATATCATCTAAATTTATATTTAATTTAGATTGATTATAATCATGACCTTTTGTCTTGTTACATTTAACAAATTTATACCAATTAAATTAACAACTAAAGTTGTGTATGATGGAATAAAGTTTTTGTATAATTTTTGTGTAAATAATGTTTTGTAATTAATAAATTTAGGAAAATATTTTTCCACAATTTAATAAAAATTCTTTTCATTGATTTTTCATTTCAATGCGTTGGATTTCAAGAAAAATGTATTTTTGATTTTTAAATTAAAACAATACGAAAGCTATTTAAATTAATAATTATTTGATTTTAAAATAAATATGTTTCATAATTACAATAATTGGTAAGATTTTAATCAAATATTTTATTTATTCTCCAATTATAGTTTTTTTCTGCATAAAGTTGAACAAGCAGTCTCATCAAGTGATAATTCTTACATTTGGCCATACAATGAATAATTTACACTTATTAAATTGTTTAGAACGTCTGTTTCGTTTAGCAATGAAGCGTTCCATCCAGTTAGAAGAGATTTTTACTTGATTGTTTGTTTGTTTGTTTTTTTTTTTTTTTTTTTTATTGAAAAATGAAGCTCGGAGCAAAGCGGAAGTATTGAAAGCATGAAAGATTACGAGCATTATTTCTAAATTGAACAGTACATTTTCCAAAAAATTTATTATTTCTTAATTTTCCATTTTAATTGCGTTGTTTACCTTCATCATCTTCTCTTTTTTTTGTTTTATTTAAATAACTCGTCTTAAGAAATCTTCTATCAAGATAAAGTTTATCAATCTTGTTAACAGATATATATTATAATAGTGTAAAATTTTACTTTTAAACCTAGGTAAATTATTTCATTCAATGTTTTAACTATAAAAAATTGTAGTATTCAAAGTTAGCGTTCAATATATTTTTTTGTTTTTATTTACATCTTATTATTGCTATAGTGAACAGGAACATTTTAAGTTTTACAAGCAATTGGCTTTTATTTAAACTTTAATGTCTAACAACAAAAATGCGTTTAAAAGAATATATAAAATTTTTACCTATTTTTAATTTAAAAATTTGTTATTTATTTCTTTTATTTAATTAAATAATTCAATATAAATTATTAATTAAAGAATTATTTCTTGAAAATAATAATATTGCGCAATTATATTTCAAAATATTAAATTTCCGTGAATTTTAGTTGAAATTAAATTTGCATTATAGTTAAAAATTCAACTTTAATGAAAATTACTTAAGAAAAATATTCTTTTCCTGAAATTGAACATTAATTATATGAGTAACAAAGTGTTTTTAGTTTTTTTTTTGTATGTATTATTTTCATTTTTAACAATTGGTTGTTATTTTGTTTTTGAGCACCACTTTTTTTTTAATGTATTATTTATTTAATTTTTCTTTTTATTTAGTGAGCTTTCAGAATCGTAAGTTACTGTCATTTAGCCTTCGCTTTTTTAAAGTATAAATTTTTTTTAACAATTGACTTGAGTAATAGAAATTGAAACAAAAATATTAGAACAATTTTATTGTTTATCTTCTTTTTTTTTAGTTTCATTTTTGTATTATTATTTGGTCAATATTATTTTTGTAACAATAGGAAAAATACTTTCAGTTTAGAAATTAAATCTAATACGCATTTCAGATAAAAAGATCTTTTATTTTCGACTAAACTATAAATTCTATTTCGTGATTGTCTCGCTGATATTTAATGATTTAAGTATATTAATGTAAATTCACTTCAACTTTATCGGTTTTTTTTTTTTTGTTGAAAAAATTCATACAAAATTGTAATTTATTTATTTTTTTACTTCAAATAACATTTTCTCTGTCGACTCGAAGGCTTTTTTGTCTAAAACTTATGATATCTGAAACAATCCTCGATTTTAGGCAAGGCTTTTTTCCAAATTTGTATAAAATACAGTAATTCTTTTTATTTACTGCTTTTTTCTTCTTTTTTTTTTTAGAAAACATCTTACACAGATAAATGACAATGGAATCTTATTTATATTATAGAATCTAAAAAAGTATTTTTTTCCTTATTTGCGAAAAAAAAAATGGAAAATGTATTTTAAGACATACGAAAAGCAGACGCTTGCTCAACGCCTGAACTTTCGGAAGTTCTGGTATGACAGATAAAAATATTAACATTCCTTCCTTTTAGTTTATTGCTACCACTTCTCATTGAAGAAGATAGACTTCTCCTCAAACTGGATGGAACGGACCTATCTCAGTCGTTGTGCGATTTTTCGCCTCTATTATTATTGTTGTTGTTTGATCTACGCGGTCACAATGGTGCAAGACATTTTCCATGTTTTGCCAGTCGTATTTCGAGCCATGTGTATGGCACCACTGACAATAGAAGCATTGCTGCTAAACCAAGAACACGACTTCGTGTACACACCAATCCATGAAGTCCTAAGGCTAGAGCAAGTCCAAGCCATCTCCAAAATAAAGATGTGGCCAGTGGTCCTTGCCACGAGTTCGTATACAATCCTAAAACTAGAGCTGAAAAGAAAACAATATTTTTTTTCAACTGTTCCAAAATTTCAATTTGTTCACATTCAACTTGAAAAAGTTTTTCTTAAATTAAATTCAAGTTTCTTGCCAATTTTATACATCGAAATTGAAAACATTTCTTTATAGCGATATTGTAAAACATAAAAATAATAAAGAAATCAGACTTGTAAAAATCATCTGCAACAAAAATCAGAAACTTATATAAAATGATTTTAAAAAAAAAGGAAAAAATTGGAAAATAATTTTGTAACAAAATTAATAAAATTATACAATCGTAAAATACCTAAAAGAAATTATTATAAATAAAAAATTAAGAAATACATTTAAAAAATCGTAAAAGAAGAAATATGAAATAGTGTGGAGAGAAAAAAGTTGAAAAATATTCACAAAAATTCTGAAAAAAATTTCTAAATAGAAAACATTTTAATAGAAAAAACGGTAAAATTTTAAATAATACTATATCAGAAAATATTTGTTTAAAAAATAGAATAAATAAATATCTAAAAAAGAATTAATTTTTACTTCATAGAAAGAAATAATTAATATCTGAGAGCAAAAAGAAAAATAATAAACACCTGAAAGAAAGAAATAATAAATATACCTAAAAAGAAGATATATAAATATGATGAGAAAGAACTAATAAATAGATTAAAAAATGTAAGAATAGAGTAAATAAACAAAAATGGATAAAAATAATAATTTAAAAAAACAAGAACAATAAGAAAATTCGTATCTTTTATTTTTCACTTACTGTATATTAGAGTTTCCCAGATAGCGTCGCAAACTCCCCATGCGGCTGATATCACGTGAAAAAGTGCTGGGTCATCACCTGCAGGTCTCCAGGTTACCAGCACCAACAATAAACATGCATGAAAAGCGAAACCTACACCTGCAAAAAAATCACATTTCGCATTAAAATTAAAAAAATATATTGAAAATATTTAATATTTATATTTAACCATTTACTATTAAAAGTTTGGATAAAAATTCTACTCACTCAATAATCTAATAATTTTCAATCAAAAGTTTAAATAAATTTTTTTTTTTACGAATTTCTATCTGATGAAAAATTTAATAATTTTCTATTCAATAGAATTTTCATCAAATAATCGCAATGAAAGGAAAACAATGAAGTTTCAATCATAATTATCGATAAAATTTTGATTGAATTTTCATAAAATAATCGAAAACAATTTTTTTGATAGAATTTTCTTTATTATCATCGAAATAAAAAATGAAAACAAAAATTTTATGTAAAAAATATTTATATAAAATGTTCTATTAAACTCATTTAATGGAATTTTTACAAAAACTGTTAAAAATTTCTCATTCAAAAAGTGGATTTATTCAAATTAAAATGCGAAAATAAAATATTTACCAACAACGTAATATCGTTTGATATGCCTCAATAGCATTGAAAGTGTCGCACCCGCAAGTGCTTGAAGTAATGCAAGACTCAGGAAACTAAGACTCACTGATCCTGCACCTCCCAAGGCGCAAACAATATAAGCCTAAAAAAAACAATCTTCAATTTTAAGGGGGGAAAAAAAATTGCAATATTTTAATTGAGAAATTTGATAATTTTTAAATCTTTTTTCTTTTCCTATTTAAAGGAAAAGAATTTCATTTCTTTAGACTCACTTCCGTGAAATCGGCAAATATAAAGCCCTGTTCCAAACCGACAAAAAGTGTGAGAGGTGCTGCCAATTGCAGTTTTGGATCTTGAAAGGCGCTTTTTATAGATTTTAGTAAATTACTTGTGCTGATTCTATCGTTAATATTTTGTGGCTCTTTTAATCTTGAATCAAGAAAAGCACATGATGTGCCAATCGCAAGAACCGCCAGTCCAAGCCATACGCTCACTATTACTTTAGAGGTTCCCGGTGGAATTGTCGATATAAATAACGTCTCGTTGTGTACTAAAAGAAAATTTAACATTATTTTATTATTAAATCAAAGAAAAATTATTGTTCTATGTTTTTTTAATAAATCGGAGAAAAATACCGGATTTAATTTCAATTCAAAATTATCAAATTGTTTATTATTATTATTATTATTTTAAATTCTGTGTCTCAATTTTCTCACTGTATCAAATATATTCATAGCATTATTTTTGATCCATTTATAAATTAAAGTATTCTTGAAAATCGAATTATTTAAAAATCAATTTGTCTATCTTTTGACTCCGGTTTTCATTATTGTAAATATAAATAAAAAAAAACATTAATATTATATTAATCAAACTAACAATGATCTTTGTTGTAAAAATGCATCGATGTTTCAGGACAATATTCAGCGCCACATTCCTCCTCCGATTCATCAAATATGAATTTAATGTGAGACATATCGGTTATTTTGATTAGAATCGATGCAATAAAGCAACCTGAAATTTTTCATTCGCAAAATTAGAATGAGAGAATAATAAAATAATTTGAAAATTTAATAGTTTATTATAAATTTTCTATACCAAAAGCGAGACCCATGTCCTCTGCTAATTTCATACTTCTGTTCAGTCTTCTTAGCAAACAATCTCTTCTCGTGTCATCTGGATCTTCAGGATCTGCACAAACAAGACCCAAACTAGCCGCACATACATTCACATGTGATGTCCTCGCTAAAAATCCCGGACTCATCCAAATTCCCAGCAATACGTAACTTGGCACTAAGACATACCATCTGCAAAAGTTGGTACAAAAAAAAAAAATTAATTTATAATTCTTTTTTTCTGCGAAAATTTCAACAAATTTTCTTTTTTCAAATTAAAATTTGACAAAATTTCATTTTACACGAATTTTTACTAAACAAAATTTTTAGCTATCGAATTTTTGTTTAGCAGAATTTTCATTTTAGTCATTTTCTTTATTTTTCATTTAAAAAAAAATTTAATTCAATTAAATTTTAATTTAGCACAATTCTCATTTAATTGAATTTTATGTGATTCGAATTTTTAAAATGACAGAAATTCCAATTCACCGAATCTTAATTTGTCCAAATTTTTATTTTGTACGAATTTTTATTTGTTAAAATTCTTAAGACGATGAATTTTTATTTATCTGATATTGCAAATATTGTTGAATAAACAATCGACAGAAAAAATTAGGCACAATATTTAAAATTGACCAATTACGATTTTTTTTTTTTTTGACAATTTCGAATTGGTTCACTTTAATAATCACGACGAAATCTTTCTCTCGATTGTTTGTTCGGACAAATGAAAATTCGGCGTCTTAAGAATTTTAACAATTCAAAATTTGGACAAATTAAAATTCGGTGAATTGGAATATGTGCCATTTAAAAATTCGAATTACATAAAATTCGATTTAATGAGAATTCTGCTAAATTAAAATCCTCTTTAATAAAAAGTCACGTAAAGAAAATGATTGTAAAATAAAAATTCTGACAAACAAAAATTCGGTAGCTAAAAATTTTGTTAAGTAAAAATGTGTGTACAAAGAAATTCTCTCAAATTTTAATTGGAAAATTGGTCTAAAAAATAATTATCTCTGATAAAATTCTTCAAAATGAAAATTCTAATTAATGATTTTTAGAATAATATGCTAATATGAATAATATAATATTATAGAATAATAATATTTAGAAAAAAAAAAAAACTACAGGAGGTAAAATTCTACCTGGGATAGAGATGTGCACCAACGAAGATGGTGATAATGACATGACCAACGATAATTGTTAAATTGGTACTGAGCTTTTGAACAATGATGGGAGCAAAACATGTGGCTAGAGTTGCCACCGCAAAGAGAAGTGCTAACAATGCTGGACCCAAATATGGATCAAAGGCTCCAAGACCGGCTTGAAGGGGGAACATTGGCAGGATTGCAGCCGAGCATGTTGCGTGACCCAATAAAAGTGCAGCACAATGCCTTAAAACTGCCTTTTTCGGTGGTCTTGGTCCCGAGGATGTTGTTCGCACGGCAGCTATCAACCGACGAACTGATGATGCACCAGCTGACGAACTCATCGACTCCCGTCGCCTCCACGATAACGCTGATGCTCTTGCAGATCGACACGATATTGGCGAGTACGTTGCCATGTGCTGAAAAGAAAAATTAATAATTAGCTTCAATTCACGAAATATTCTATTATTATTTATTTATTTATTTTTCACTGAAAAAATAAATATTATTTTAAGAGAAAAAAAAGTCTTAAATTGAAATTAAACATTAAATTAATAATAAAAAAAATAACAAAAAAGATAAAATGAAGAGAAATAATGTAGAATGAAATTTTTAATTTTACAAAAAAAAAAGAAAACTGTTGATTTGATTAACCAAAATTTTTTGTTGACCTAACAAAAAAATTTGGTTGAACTAACAAAAAACACTGAACCAAAAATGTTGGTTGACTCAAACAAATAGTTTGATTGTTTAAATAACAACAAAATTTATTTTTTTTTTTTTTGACCCAACTAAATTTTGATTACTCTGACTAAATATTTTTCTCAATGTATACATGTGAAAATTTGGTATAATTTTGTAAATTTTCTCAAAATTATAAGAAGAAACAATGGATTTTATGCGGAAATATTTTTGAACTGGTGATTTTTTTGATTTATTATACAGGCCACGAATCGACTTTAAGGCAAAAAAAAAAAATCGGTTTATAAAAAAAAAAAAAATCGAATTGGTTAATAAATATTTTACTTTAAATAACTAATGTTATTTGATATTAAATTAATTTTATTAATTCTGTAATGAGAATAATTCTATAATGAATATTATCAAGAAAATTTATTTCGAATATTTTGGTATCAAAATAATTGTAAGACAAATTTTCCAAATTTTATTTACATAAGTAGGACAAATTTCTAAAAAGAAAAAATTCTTAAAGTTCCATTTTTATAATTTTTTCAAGTCTTATTTAAGGTAATTAATTTGAATTAAAAATTTTGTAATAGTTTTTAGTTTTGATGGTCAAAAAAATGTCAGGCAATACTTAATTAAGTTTTACAGATTTTTAAATAAAAAATTTTTTTTTATTAATAATTTTGGACGAGTTAAAGTTGAAATTTTTAGAAATAATTGAATATCAAAAGATTTTGTTAATTTACAGACAATAATTAAATTTTATAGCAATAAAAATAATTTATCAAATAATTTTAGATAACATTTTTTAAAAGTAATTGAATTTTTCAAAGATTTACAATTTAGATTTTTGAAATTAATTGAACTTAAAGTGATTTTTAATTAAAAGTTTTTGATGATTTCGCTAAAAAATTTATTAGAAATTGTAGACAAAAATACAATAATTTGAAAAATTTTTAAGTGAAAAATGGTTTCGGATAGTTGAATTTTTTTGGAAGAATATTATAAAAATAAAATTAAAAATAATTGAATTTCAGGAGAGAGACATAATTGAAATTATTATATTTAAAAAAATTTTAAATGGACAATTTTAGAAGCTTTTAATTTAAAATTTTTGAAAATAATTGAATTTCAAAAGATTGTGTTAAATTTCAAACAATAATTATAATAAGAGAAATTTTTTAATGTTTTCTGTAGATGAAGAATTTATTAAAAATCACATACAAAAATTGAATTCCATAAATATTTAATCGAAAAATTGAATTTTCAAAGAATATTATAAAAAACATTAAAAATAATTGTAAATTTTTGCAAATAATTAAATTTCAAGTGATTTTGAATTAAAATTTTTTGGTAATTTTATTTGCTAATTTAAAAAATAAATAAAAAATTCAACATAAATAAAATTTTATTCTCAAACTATTTCAAGTATATTTTAGTATAAATTAGTTCATGAATATTGTACAAATGAACGATGTGAGTATAATTATTTTTGACTAAAAACACAAAATTAAACAAAAATGAAAAAACAAGAATTATATAATTTTTTTTATTTTTATTGTATGTAAAAAAAAAAAAAAACTCAAAGAGTATATTATTTTACCTCGAGCATGGCGTCATTGTCCCATAATATTGTTCCATGATGATGACCACTGCTTCTCGCACGTTTGTGGGTGTGAGCCAAGGGTGGAGGTTGCGGTGGTAACCTCACTGGACCAAGACCTCCAATTGGAGCTGGTCGGTATACGGGACTTTCGAGCTTTTCTCTTGATAGTTCGTGCAAATTCGGTAACGAACCCATCTTTACTTCCTGTTTCGAATATCACACTTTTTCAGAAGCCATCAGTTTTTTTTTTCTTTTCAATTCAAATTGTTTACGTCATCCTCTATCATATTGTACATTTAACAATGACTTTTCTTCAGTTGAAAGCATTCCTAAAATATAAACATATATTTGTTAATATTTTTAAATATTATTATATAATTTATTTATAAAAAAAAACAATTTTTCTGAATAATTTTAAATGCTCTTTTTTAATTTTGTAAATTTCTTTATAAATAATTAAAGTTTTTTTAAAATTGTTTTTATAAGCTTATTTTCATCGTCACTTTATGCTTCCTTTTAAAAGTTAAACAAAAATTGAAAATTTTTAATTTAATTTAAATTGTATCGAAAAATTTCTTTAAAATATATGTCTAATAAGAACGTTGAAAAAAAGGAAAAAAAAAGTTAATAATTAAAGGATAAATTTACAAATTAAAAAAAAAAAAATATTGGAGTATCTGACTAAGAAGAGTTAGTTAATTTTCAAAAAATTTTATCAGCTTTTAAGTAATAAAAGAAAAAAAGGTTATTTAATTTATATACTTTTTATCCGATTAAAGTTTCTTTTTAATCATAAGAAAAAAAAATTTAGTCTGAAGTAATTACTTTGACGGTACAGTAATTACTATGAATTAAAAATGGTACAAAGTTAATTAAAGAGATATAGAGTAAAATAGACTATAATAAAATAATAAACAAAAAATATAAATTTCTGGTATTTATAATTAATATTTATGAATAACAAAGCAAACAAATATAAACCAGAGCTTTTGATTTAAAGATATAATTAATTATATAAATAAATCTGCTTTTCACACAATAGAGATGTAAAATTCAAATAGTATTTAATATTGGATAATCTCAAAGAGAGTATCACAAAAACTTATACCAAGAGATTAAATTCAATTTATTTTCCTTTTAATGAAAAATTTGTATCATTAATTATTCCGTTCAATTCTCGCGATTGAAACGAGAAAATTTCTCCTAAAGCTTCAATTTATTAATAATTCAAAAAAAAAAAAAAGAAAGAAAAAATTCCAATAATCTGACAAATGCAATTAAGACCCTAGAGTATCAAATGAAAAGTCGATATACCTCCAACGAGTTATATACAAATTATTATTATTGATACATATTTTTTAAATTGAAAAAAATTATATATATAAATTGGCAAACATATTCGCAAATAAATATTTAAAAAGTCAATACTTCCCACGCGAATTTCACAAAATATATCACACATATATATATATTTTGTAAAAAAAAAATAATATGCGATTCTCGAAAGTATTTCTAATCTTCTCTTATCCGGATAAAAAGATTTTATACGAAAACTTTATTCCACAAAGCAAAAAAAAAAAAAAAAATAATAATAATAAGAAAAAATCTTCAATATTTTTCTCTCCTTTTCTTTTTCTCACAGCAGAATGGTTTTGCGTGAAAACTTTTCATCCAAATAATAGATAAATTTAAAATATTTCTTGAATTTTGAAATATTTTCATATCTAGAGAAAAATTGTCAAATATTTATTGATATTTGAATATTTTCTTGCATGAAAGAAAGACAGACAAAAAATTTCATTAAAAAACAGTTACTAATGCAAAATAAATAAAATTTAATTTTAAAAAATTCATAAAATAAATATATATAATAGAATGAAATAAAAAAAAAATTCTTCATTTTATTTTATGTTAAATACTCGAAATAGTATATATTGTAACATAATATATATATGAGCTATTGATCACACGGAACATGTCGTCGATCTGGTCGACACGCGATCTTAATATGCGCTACAACCTCCCTGCTAATCTCCCAGACATTATTGCTGATAGGTGAGAAAATGGAGGATTAACAGAGATAGCGATAGGAGAAGGTAATAATTATGTTCGCTAAATTGCACAATTCAATGTAATTTGAGAAAGCTCTCACTCTCACGATTGAATGAACATTTGAAAAAAATTTTTTTTTTTTTTTTCAATTTCTATACACTGATATAAATATTTAGTCAGAGTAACCAAAATTTGGTTAAGCCAACAAAAAAATTTTGTTGGTATTTAAACTATATTTGTTTGAGTCAATCAAAAAATTTGGTTGAGTGTTTTTTGTAGGCATAAAAAAAATATTTTGTAAGCTCAACGAAATTTTTTTGTTAGGTCAACAAAAATGTTTGGTTGATAAAACCAACAGTTTTTTTTTTTGGTATAAAATAAAAAATTTTATTCTACCTTATTTCTCTTTATTTTATCTGTTTCATTTATATTATTAGTTATTTATTATAAATTTAACGTTTAATTTATATATTTATAATATAATTCAGATGGAATTTCTGTTAAATAATAATTCGAAGAAAGAAAAATTTTGTTCAAAGCAAATTCGAGTTAATAAAATTCTATCGAATAAAATTTTTAGCAAAATTAATTTTAGAGCTTATTCATACATTTAAAAAAAAAAAGACGAAAATTAATTTTTCATTGAATCCAGAGAAATGTTTTATTTGAAACAATTAGAAATTTATTTGGCTCTGAGACAAATATATCTTTTCTGTGTGCAATAATAAAAAATGTTGATTAAAATTTTGCATTTTAACAATTTACATGATTTAAAAAAAAAAAAAAAAATTTGAATTTTAAGGTTTTTATTCATCTCTCGCAGTATCTTATTCTAAAAGCAAAATATAAAAATTTGAATAAAATTAGGACATCAATGAATTTTAATATTCTTGCCCTATATTAACTTTTTATCTCGAGTAAATTATTTAAAGACTCTATACTTCTTATATTAGGGGCTCTTATATATATATTTATAAATAATTATCGATTTAATTATCCCTTTAATAAACTTTCGAATAAAATAAAAGTATCTTGCTTGCTGTGCGAATATCTAAAAATAAAGTTTGACATTTAAAATTTAATCAATAATAATCCTGTATTATAATTTGTTACAATTTTCATATTGACACAATTTAACAAACTTTGCTTTCAATTTATATACGCATTCATGTATTGAAATTTCAGTTTCCATAAAAGAAAATGTAGAAATTCTTTCAAATTCATTTTTAACAAATTCATTTTTAAAAAATAATTATTTTTAAGGTGAAATTAAAAAAGGGTTGTAAACTATTTTTCACTCATTTTTTTTTTTAATTATATTTTTATACATTTTTTTTTTTATACTTATAAATTATTTTTTCGAGTATTTTAAAAGAATTTGTAAATAATAATAATAATAATTATTATTATTATACACATTGTAAAAGAATTTATTGATTAAGGGAAAATTTTTTGTTTTTTTTTTTTTTTAATAAAATATATAAATTCCGATGAAATTAAAAATATTTTTCCAAGGAAGATGATTATTTTCCATGAGAATCGAACTATAATGTATAATAACTTTTGACTAACGAAAAAAAAAAATATATAATAAATATAAATATATATACAAATGCATTTATAAGATACAATATTATAAAACGAAATAATTAGTTGTTTCTGAACAATCTGATTTGACCTTCAAGTTTTCTTATAATATTATATATGCTTAACGCTTAATGTGTTATATATTATATACCACAGAATATTTATAGGCAATTATGCAATATTCATATTTCTGACAATGATAATTTCAAATATTGATATCAGAGATGTCAATATGACGTTTATATTATTCATTTTAATAATAATAATAATAATAATAATAATAATAATAATAATAATAATAATAATAATAATCGCATGTCAACTTTAAAAGTAGAGGGGGATTCAGTTCACTATATGTAACTATATCAACATATATGAGATATTTATCGATAAAGTGCATATAGAAAACTTCAAAAGATTTTATAGATGATCGACGTTCACCGTTATTCGGTCGAGTTACTCCAATCTATTCTCATTGAACACGTGCGTTCTTTGGACTTTAACATAAATATGCGCGATCATATCTCAACAAATGAGATTTTCATTTCAAAAAATCAAAATTTTATTATTACGATATATTACAGATTTTTGATAATCAAAAATTCACTTCACAGAATTTTTTCGAATTTAATGAATTTTTTTTTAGGTATAGAATTTCATTGCATAAGATAATTTTTAGATATGAATTTTCATTTATTTGAATTTTTATTTGTTAGAATTTTCATATAACCGATTTTTCATACTACATAATTTCATACTTATAATCGAAAAATCATTTAATACAATTTTCAATTGATAAAATTTTCATTTGTCCGAAATTACAAATGTTCGAATAAACAATAATAATTTTGGCGCTATTTTTAAAAACAACCATAATCAAAAAATTAATCCATAAAATTGTGATTATTTTTAAAAATCGCGTTGAAATCTTTCTGTCGATTGTTTATTCGGACATTTGCGCAAATTTCGGACAAATAATGAAAATTCCTATTAATTAGAAATTTTGTTAAATAATTTTTTGAAATTCTGTAGTATGAAAATTCTATCAAATATAATAATTCGAAAAACAAAATAAATAAAATTTCTCATTTTTTTTTTTTTTTTTTTTTATTAAACTTTATTTAATTTATTTCGAAAAAAAAAATGTATTTAGAACAAATGGCATTAAAAATTTATAATAATTTAGTCGATGGAAAATAAAACAACATATACAAATTTTTACGACCTTTTTCAGTTGGCCTCAGATAACTTTAAAGTCGACATTAAAAAAAAAAATTATTTTATCTTATTACCAATAAATTAGTAATAATTACAATTTTTGTTTTAAAAATCGATTTTGAAGTTTATTATTATGGGTCAACTAAAGAGGCCGTATATACAAATTTTATGTGTGGTTTTACTTTCCGGCGGCGCGCTGAATTATATAAAAGAAATAGAATATTCATTTGCGACACTAAATAGTAATATAAATATATAAAAAATATAATTATACAAAAGGAAAATATATATTTTTTTTTACTTCATTCAATAATGTTTTTCATTGAAAAAACAAAAATTTTTGTTACCTATTAAAAAAAATTTATAAACTTAATTTTAATTTGCTACATCCAGAGAAAAGATAAAGTCTCAGAGCTAAATAAATATATTTATTTGTTTCAAATAAATTTCATTTGCTCTAAATAAAATTTTATTTGTGCCAAATAAATTTTTTTTTTATTTAAAACAAAAATAATAATTTAATGGGGTTCTGAGGAAAAAATTAATTTTTATTGGCTTTAAATAAATTTTATATTTGTCTCAAATAAACGCCAATAAAATATTTCTCTGGATCCAGAATCATTACATTTGAATAGAATAAAATAAAAAAAAAAAAAAAAACTACTTAATTTTTTCCTGTGTTATGAAAATTTGTTTCTAATTCAAATTCAGAGAAAACTAAATTATAAAAATAAAAACCAATTCTTTCCATATCCGAAATGGAATTGAAAAAAAATCTATTTCACATTTTCTATAATGTATGGAATGATCTAGTATTATCATTATTATTATCCACATTATTAGATTTTGTAGTTGACCTCATGGTCATATTTATGCATACTTCCGATAAAAAAAAACTTTTTCCTACTTCAATTATTATATGTGCCTATATAGAAAACTATCCTAATGGCCTACTTTTCTTTTCTTGGTCATACAATATATATATATATATATATATATATATATATACAATATAATATTCTTCTACAACAGATGAATCTTGTATGACCTTTCGTGTGATTTCAAGTGCGTATAATGTTTTTTTATTCCTTAAATGGAATTCTCTGCCATAATTAAATTTTCATAAAATGAGTATATATATGAAGGTGATTTTTTTTCAAAGTGACAATTACTGATAAAATACATTTTTAATTCATTAAATTAATTGCCAGGAATCCCAAATGAATCACATTATATATATATAACAAATTTTATAGCTACTTAATAAAATTACTCATTGTAAATGTTAATTAATAGCAGCAAATTATTGTTAAATTAATAAAAAATTTGATTGCAGAAAAATTTCCATTTTTAACTTAGCGATAGGTATAAATTGAAATAATAAATTAACAAATTATAACAAATAGCAAATTCAAAAATAATTATATTATAAAATTATTAATTTTAAATTATTATATTTTTTTTACATATTTCCAAAAATTGAAATTTTTATATATTTTTTTAATAAAAATTATTAATTACAATTATTATTATTTTAAATATAAATTATATGCTTAATTTGATTTATGATGTATAAATACTGTACCATGTAATTTACAATGTGAAAAAAATTTTTTTTTCTTCATTATGAATTTTCTCGAAAATATATATATATATATATATAATGTAGACTTTATAAATCAGTGTGATTGTTATAAATATTATACTGTTATATGAACAAGTTTCATGTGGGCAGTAAATTCCAATTGTGGGTGCTGCAATAAAAAATTATATTGTTTAAGTATGCACAGTATTTTTATTATCTTTTTAATGAGATCCCTCTCTAAGTCTATTTATTATCTAATCGCATATAAAAAAAAATATATAATTTATATCTTTCCAATTCGCTAATTTATTATAATATATTATATTAAAAATGAATTTTTGAATTAAAATTTTGAACCGAACAAATTAAATTTTTTATAAATATTTCGTGTATCAAAAAATTTAAACTTTTGAAAATCAATTTCTACACTAAAAAAAAAAATTATTTGATTCAAATACATAATCGGTTATTTAATTATTATCAAATAAATATTTACTTGAACCGCAAATAATTTTTACTTGAATTAAATAAACTGTATTTGGACCAATAATATCTGTATTTGAAATAAATACAATTTAATTGATTCAAATAATAATTATTTGACACAAATAAATATTTATTTGATAATAGCCAACTAACCGATTATTTGAATCAAATAAAGTTTTTTTCAGTGTAATTTATTTTATCTTCAATCTGCTGCTAATCAATTACTATATACAACTTTGTATATTTAAAGGAATTTACTGCAATTTTATATTTTATGTACATCTCGATAAATATTCATTCTATTGTATTTAATGTCCGATAATATTGAATTCAGAGTTTCGAACAATTCAATTGATTTGACAATTAAATGTTAATGTTAATAAAGAATTTCAATAATTAACATAGTTTTTTTATTTATTTATAAAATTTAGTAAATTAATACTTCAATTAATTATTTTTATTATTTTATTGTCTGTTTAATAATTTACTTTCAATATTACTATTAATCAAAATAATTTCTGTATTATAAACATACCATTTTATAGAATCAAATAATATTAATATTAATTTAATACAAATAAATATTTATTTGATAATAGTCAACTAAATGATTACTATTTAAATCAAATAATTTTTTTTTCAGTCTAAAATAAAAAAAAAATTATGTACTAGAATAAATTAATTAAATACATATAATAAATATTATTGGATAAATAATAATTATACTGGGTGTTACTTTTTATTATAATAATGCAACAATAGTATTTTATAAAATGGATAATATAAATTTTTGTAAAACTAATGAACTATTCGTATCGATTACATTTTATACATATTTAATGTATTGTATATCGATGCATGTGATTGCGGTGAATCGCGGAAATAACCTTCAACAAGTTTAATCAAATGCAGTTCTTTTCACGATTTCATTATTCATTCTCATTTTCTCATTAAAGAAATCTTATCCATTATATCTGCTGTTACATCAGTCAATCAAGATTTTTTTTTTTTTTTTTTTTTTCAAAAAAAGTAAATTCCATGTTTAACTGTAAATATGCAAACTTTGTTAAAATCAATTTGTCAGTGATTAAATTATTAGCATAAAATATAGTTACAGAGTAAAAAAAATTATTATGAATTAATTTTTTTTTTTTAAAAGCAACGAAAAATCAAGCATAATTGTTTTCTTTTTTTTTTTTTATCAAAGCACACCAAACATATTATTACTGTAACTGCATTTTTTTGTTTTCGAGAAATAAAAAATTAATTGATTATTAAAAAATTTTATTAAAAAGTAATTTTTTTATATTTTAAATTAATAATTTAGATTATTTATTTAAAACATCAAAATTAATTGCAAAAATTAGTATATAGAATATTTACATTATTATTATTAATATAATAGAAATATATTTAAATTGATAATAATTTCAATTGGCAAAATTGAAAAAATGCATTTTTAATAAAATAAATATATTAAAAAAATATATATAATGAAGCATAAGTGCTACTATTTAAATAATGTGATAATTTATAATCAACATGGGAATTGTATATTATAAACTATATTTTTTGTGTCAATTAAAAGAAACACAAAGTAAAGAAAAAAAAAAAAACTAAACAAATTATAGCAATTATAAAAGTAGATGTTATTAGTCGTCTTTGTAATTATTTGAAAGAATCATCTCGTACCAGTAGAAAAAGTTACATTAACGAAACATTATTCCCATCGTAAAGTTGAACTATTTATTCTAAAAAAAAAAAAAATAAATAACCACTTTATTGCATCTGATGACTTAAAAGTGATATAATTTTATTTAAAATCTATTTTTAGAAAACCATCGAATCTATAAATTATATTCGAAATAATATTGTCAAATCGTTGCAAACGGAAAAAGCAGAAAAGTATATGAAGAATTATACACGCGAAGGTTGCTTACTTAGAATAAAAAATAATAATATAACTCGGTTGAGGCTGATTATCACTCATTAGTATTTTCTTCTTACATAAAATCATGATACCTTATATGTTTATCTTTGAACAACTAACTCCTTCCTTCAATGTACTTAACGGATTTAATTAAAATATGAAATATATGGAATTCGACAAACTCTATTGAAAACTTTATTCTATATTTATTTATTTAAAAAATAAAGAATAAATTTTTTTTAAGGAAATCACAAAAATAAATATTTTTTGAAACAAATTTTTTGTCTCTTGTATTGAAAAAAGAAATTTTGTTGGTTAAATAAAATTCTTAAATACAGTGAAACCTCGTTAAGTGGGATAAGAGGAAAAAAAAACTGAGAATATATTTATAATTTTTTTTTTTTTTTTTTTTTTTTTTTAATATTTTAATATCTAAATTCTATTAGTTTTATTTCTATAGTTGTAAGATATCACTGTATGATGAAATTAAATCCCAGATTTGACTGTATATAAAAAAAATATTTATTTTAATTTTTTTTTTATACTTAATGAGTAAATTCTTTTTTCGATGAAAATGTTTCTTAAAATACTCTTGTTTCCTAGAACTTTTTTTCATTTTAAAAATTTCCCTTTTTTTCATAAAAACTTTCTTTGATGTTTATAATCTGTAAATTCTCTTTTCAAAGAATTTTTTTTTTTTTTTGTAAAAATTCAAAGAAAAATTTTTTTCAATTCAAACGATGAATTCTGTTTGAAGCTAATCAAATGTATATATTATATATTTAATATAGAAGAAAATCTCTTCAAAAAGAAAAGAACCTATAGAATTGAAAATCTTTTCCTCTTTGCCAGTAAAGAAAAAAATTAATTTTACATTTCTATAATAAATAGTAAACAAAAAAAAAGTTTCGTTTATCTCAATAAATAAATAAATATAATAAACAATCAAATAAATAGTTCAATAAAAAAAAACTATTTGTTTAAAATTTTAATTCAAACATATTTTCATCGTAGTAGAAAAGAAAAGATTTTTTATTCAATTTTCTGGGTCATAATAATTTAAAAAAAAAAAAAGTATAAAGATATGTAAAACAGTAAATACAGAAAATAATAAAAAAACAATTTCAAATATTTACATATTTAAAACAACTATTAATTATTAAAAAAAAAAAATTAAAACAACTATATAATTTATATAAATAAATAAATTAAAAAATTTAAATTAAGTAAACATTGATGATTAACAAAAAAATTTTAATATAAGCTAAAACTCGTACAGAAAAATTAATAAAAAATATACGTGAATTAACTCACTTGTCAAATTTGATTTCTTCTCAAAAAATGTAGACTCAAAATAATATAAAAAAATTGAAATATACTTTCAGCATAGTTTTCCTCGAAATTTTCACATTTTCACAAATTTTCTCATTATTAGAAATAAATTTTAACACGAGGCCATCGATCCCTTCATTAATTTCAATCTTCATTAAAAATTTTAAATCTTAAACTATAATATTTATATAGTAAAATTTGTCTTTTGGCAGCGATATCATTTACTGATGAAAGTCACTTAAGGATTAAAAAAAAAAACCTGATACCATATTTCATTAAAAATATATGCTCTTTTTTTTTGGTTTGCCAATCACAATTACATTAAAAAATTTTAATTTATCATAAAAAATGTTTAACGAACAATACATATATTTTTTTTGAAATTAGTAAATAAAATTAATTTTAGAATTTACATTTTTGAATCATTATTTGTTTAAAAAAAAAAAAAAAAAAAAAAAAATGAGAATCTGTTACCCGAATATTCGCATATTGTTTACATCGTATAGTTGACACGTTTTTCTTCAAAAATAATAGTTTCCTTTCACAAAAAATTGCGCGGGACATGAAATTTAAACGCGAATTGTTATTTTTTTTAATTAAAAAAAAAAATTTTTTTTTTTAATTTTTCTTTATTATTTTAAATGAAAAATAATTTTTTTGCGTGAACATTAAAATTTGTTGAATTGTCACCGCGTTGCGAACCCGACATTTGGACGAGATACGTTGCGCAATACATGGACGGTCACGTCCATCTGGGACGAAGGAGCGACTCTTCTCTCTTGCCTCACAAATACGGGTCGATAACAGTGAGAGTGCGTACAAAACTCCTCTCCCCAAAAAATTTAAGCCTTCTTGATCAACAACACGTTTGAATTATTTATCCCAAACACGTTTACAATTTTCTATAAAAATGACATTTTTATTTAATTAACGAGAGTTATCTCTTTGGCATTATATAAAGATAAAAGAAAATGGACCAGAAAACTTTTTTCTAATCGAGCGAAGAGTATAAAAAAAATAGTAATATCAAAAAAAAAAAAAAAAAAAAAAAAAAAAAGGAAAAAGAAAACTTCTTTCTCTAGAGTTCAGCAAATTTTTTTACGCGAATAAACTTTCTGAGTCGCACAGTATTCTTGAAAAACTTTTTTTCCTTACGAAAGTATTTTTTTCAAATAAAATCAACTCATCAGAAGTTGAATCTTTAGAGTAAAATTATTTTTTCACAGAGTACAGTGAACTAAAATTTATTATTATATGCTTTTTAAAAAAATAAATGATTTAAAAAAATTGTACAAAACTTTTATTAGGCAAATGTTTTCAACTAATTATATATAATTATAAATTTTCTATATATCGTTTTGAAAAAATTTCAAATAGCAACTTACGATTCAGAATAAATACACGTGACTAGAAAATTAAATAAATTTACTTTTTATGATAATTTTGTTATTTTTACACTTTTTATTGTTAATACATAAATTTATTGTAGAGCAAATTATTTTAAAGATTTCTTCAGTAATAGGAAATATGATGAAATATATGTATATATATAGAAAATTAGATTAAAATTTCTCAGAAAAAAAATTCAATTTTATCTGGGATTTTTTTTTTATGAAACTTGTTCAAAACAAAATAACAAGAGGAAAAAGATTTTTAATAAATTTTTCATAATTTTTCTCGCATTTATCGGGAAATTAAATATATTTGAAAAAATAAATTATGTTTTTCAAATATTGTCATTTCAGACATTTTAATAAATTATGTTTATTTTTGAATTAATTAATTAATTAATTAACAGTTTTTAATTTTATGTAAATCCATTTATTACCTGTAAATAAATAAGTATAACAAGCCAAAAAAAAGTTTTTTTAGTAAAATTGCTCGTAAAAGTCGAAAAAAAATTATTATATTATTATAATTTTTTAATATGAATATTACATAGCATTTTCTGTTTATTGAATTTAATTAAAAAATTTTTTCAGTATATTTTCTTATAAACATTATTATAAGTGTATATATATATTTTTTTTTTTTTACTTAATTTTGATGCTGACAACTCAATAATCTATTTTCATTCTTTATAAGGATATAGACGTTTTTCGTAACAGATAAAAGGCATTGAAAATAGCTTCTGATTCTTCTCGACCATTAAATATTATTAGATTCTTGGAATGTATCGATCACTTTTTTTTTATGTCAGAGTGAAAAAAATTTTATTCGGTATTTTAAATATACTTCCTTCAAAGTCATTGTCAAATATTACTTTTATTTTTACAATAAAATAACTAAATATTTACCGGGACGTATAACTAAAATTAAATTTTTATATAATATTATATAATATAATATACAAATATAATATTATATTATTTTAATGTTTCGTTAGTATCAGACGAACACCTAACAATCTTCATTACATTTATATAGTTCAAATGCATTAAATTATTATAGAAAAAAAAAAAACAAAAAATTAAATTACTCTAGAAATGAACAACAATTAACGTGATATCATAAATTTCCACGTGCAATTTTTACGATCTTTGTCACTAAAGCTTTTTAAAATCAATTTGCAACAATGAATTTTTCAATGTAAAATATTTTTTCTCCCAATAAATTTCAAAGCAGAAAGAATTCGATAATAAAATTATATTTGAAAATTCGCTTCTATTATACAATATACAACAAGGAAATAGAAAAATTATATCATTTACGGTTAATAAAAATAACGGTAGGAGAAAGGGAAACAAAACTTTTTTTTAAGACAATAATTTTTTTTATAAGAAACTCTATGACAGATAAACTATTCCAACTACAATTTTCACCGAATTAAAATAAAAAGCACTATATATATAACATAATTACTTTTTTTTGTATTAACATAAAGCGGATATTTTTTTAATTATAAGTTGTTAAAATTCATTAAACGCCGTTAAGTTTCTACATAATGAAAGTACTGAATAATTATTATTAATACAATTCTTGTAACATCTTAAAACGGTGCTTTAAATAAAATATATTGATATTATAATTTATATTAATTAATTTTTTTTTTATAAATAAATAAGAATTATAATATTAATTTGAATATTTTTATTTTCGAAAATTTTTAAATTTTATTGTTTCGCTTTGGCGTCCGTCCGTCCGTCGTACACTTGTACTGTTGCTATGGTAACAGTTACCATAGCAACCGTTTCCATGACAACCATTACCATATCAACCGTTTCCATAGCAACCGTTACCATGGTTACCTTAGCAGTTCACGAAACCCTGCAATGCAATAGAGGCAGAAAAATTTGGGTGTAAATTTTAAAAATAATCAATTATAATTTTGTTTATAACTTCTGATTGGTCAATTTTAAAATTTAGGTCCAAATTTTTCTGCCTGATATTTAATTATGGTTAAATTGAATTTCTGTTAAATAATAATTCGAATAAAGAAAAATTTGATTAAAAGTAAAATTCTACATGAAATTTTGTCAATTGAAAATTCTAACAAATTAATTTTGAAAGAACAAATTTTCTGTTATCACAATAAAAAAAAATTTTCTATCTCATACATTAAGTTAAATTTTTTTTTTTTTTTTTTTTTTTTTTAATGATGATACATGTGACAATGAGTACCTATGATTGTATGACCTTGATTGACGAAGATCGCGAGTACGTCGACTCCCACCATCGATATAAAATATCAAGTAAATGAACAGTGCTTTCCCCCCTTCCTTTGTGGATTTATATAGGAAGGTCTGATCCTTGAAACTTTCTTATAAATGAAGGTTCAACGCTGACTCGAGTTTCATTTAATCCTCCAACCCTCAGCCCCGGAGGAACCCCCGTCTTGCATGCTGCCACTTCCCCCACCCCACCCTCCCCCTTTCTATCTCCTAATGTGTCACTTTTCAAAATTACTTTGTTCTTCTCAATTTTTAATTAAAAAAAAAAAAAAGTGTAGTTTTAGATCATTTACATGTACAGTGTGAGAAAAAAAAATCAAGTGTACTAAATAAGTGTCTAATGTGCTCGTAAATTTTCCTGTTATTATTATTATTTTTTTTTACATTTGTGCCACACCAAAGGAGGATAACTGTGAGTTATAAATTTAATTGATAAAAAGAAATATATATTTTTTTTTAATGTAAAAAATAAAATTCCCTTCCAATAGTTTTTTTTTCAATAAAAAAGTAAATTCGATTAGTAGGAAGATAAAACAATACAAATTTATTACATTGTTTCAATTCAAATAGTGACATAAATTTGTTTTGTTTTACCTTTCTAATGGTCTAATTTACTTTTTTTTAATAAATTTTTTGTTTTAAATTAACATTTTGCATATAAATTGAACAAATTAAATGAAAAAGAGACACAGTTATTAATTCAAAAAAATAAAATAATTCACTACTTCAAATTTAGAATATTAATTAAAATAATTTTAAAAAAATCACCATCTTTTAAATTAGTCAATTTTGACTATACTTCACACCCAGAAAAATGGTATATTTGTCTCATAGCCTAATAAATATTTATTTGACTCAAATAAATGTTTTATTGATTCAAAAAAAAAATTTTTTTATTTGATTTAAATAAAAAATTTTATTTACGCCAAATAAATACGGCTAATAGGCTGTGAGACAAATATACGTTTATTTAACTCAAATGTATTATATTTGGTTCAAATAAAACATTTATCTGGGTGCAATAACATTCATTTATTCATTAAATGAATTAGTCGGGATAAGTAATTGTTTTAAATAATTGTTAGTCAAAAATTACTAATTTGTTTCAAATAAATATTTATTTTTTGTAAATAAATTTTATTTGATTTAAATGAAAATTTTATAACTTAAATATATTATATTTGTTTTAAATAAAACATTTCTCCGGTCTATGTGTTAAGTTTCTTTTAAGAGGGATGAACGCCTTAACATAACCTCAAAACTGAAAAATGTTTTTTAACACAAACATAAATTTAATAAAAATTAATTATCTTTGGGCCACAAACCTCCTTAAATCTCCTGCCATTTGATGATTTACTTAAAAAAAATTCCTGATTTTTTTTGACCTGCATTTATATATATATATATTTTTTTTTAATATTTGAAAATTTATGTAAGACTCATTAATTAATTTCTGGATTAACAAAATACCGAGAATTTATTAGCGGAAGCCGTAAAAGTTTTTATAGGTTAATTAATCAACTGAAGCACCATTGTCCATGTTGCAAAATGTATATGTAAAAGATATTATAAATTAATTTTGTTACATTTTGGATTGATAAATGAAGCAAACAATTATTGGTTATATAATTTTGTATCAAGTTATAAATAATAAATATATTCAAATTTACTTTTATTATTAATTTCTGAAATTATATAATTTTGAATCAACTTCCGGTAAATATATATATATACATATATACATATTCATAATTATGTATACATGTATAAAGTTCTCAATTATTTTATGAATAATGATTTATTAAATTTGTTAATTAAATTTATTTTTACAATTTTTTAAAGAATCAAATTTTTTTGTTTTTTATTTAATTTTTAGTACACTGAAATAAATTTATTTAATACAAATAAATATTTATTTGATAATAGTAAATTAGGGTCAGTTGGGGTAAATGGGGACAAGAGGTTTTGGAGCTTAATTTGCAGTTTTAAAATGAAGTTCAACGTCAATATTTTAACCTCAGATCACCTGCAAGAGGTTTTGAGTATTGCCAAGCTTTTATCTTGACAATTGGCAGCAAGATAAAAAAAAGTTTTCGCTCAATGCATAAAAACTTGAAAATCAAAGTCAAATTGTTTCAGTATTTTGTCTCGCATTTGAAAAAAAAAACAGACTTAAAAATCATACCAAATTTTTTTCTTATTCCTTACGACTCCTATAACAGAAATTCACTTGAATTTTTGATTTTTGTCAATTTGGTTAATAATGACAAGCTGTCCCCATTTACCCTGAGTATTCAAATTTTTGGGGTAAATGGGGACAGCTTGTCATTATTAACCAAATTAACAAAAATCAAAAATTCAAGTGAATTTCTGTTATGGGAGTCGTAAGGAATAAGAAAAAAATTTGGTATGATTTTTAAGTCTGGTTTTTTCAAATGCGAGACAAAATACTGAAATGAAAAAAAAAATAAAAAAATTTCAATTGGTTCAACTATTATATATCTACTACAAATTTTTTTAAAAGTTTTTTCATCCCTTAATACAGTAATATACTTGAGGAAACTTTTTTCTTAAAACTTTCTTAGAAATTGTGCTGTCCTCATTTACCCCAAATTTTATGAAATTTTCTAAATTTTGGGGTAAATGGGGACAGTCAGTTTCATGCGTTAAAAGCTTATCTAAATTTTTTTCTGCTGCATAAAATTAATCCTGGGAACGTAAATAACAACTTAAAAAAATATAAACCCGCAAATATTACCTTTTAAAGAAAGAAACTTACGTGATTTGTGAAAAATAGCGATTTTGTCCCCATTTACCCCAACTGACCCTAATTGATTATTTAAATAAAATAAATTTTTTTTTTCAGTGTAATTATTATTTTAATTTTAATATCATTTTTTTAACTTTACTTAATGCTCATTTTTCATATTTTACTAATTTTTTTTTATAATAAACTGTTATTATTTAGAAAAAATATTTATTAATACAAAAATTTCCTATAATAAATTGCTGAATAATCATATATGTATACAAATGCGCACAGTATGGAGAATTTTTTTTTTCTATACTAAAATCGAGAAAGAGATTATTGTTGATTGTTCAGATTTTCAATTTATTTATCTGATTATATATCCCTCTGTATCATGTGAAATAATTACACGTCGTGTCGGTGCAAAATCAATGACTCGTATGGGACGTGAGTACTCAGATATTGTACTCGCATTGTCAAGAGTATTTACTCCTTATTTTTTCTTTTTAAATTTATAGTCTTGTCATTTTATTGCTACTATGATCTTACAATAATTTACAATCTCTTTGATTCCGTGAGAGATTTATTTTGATAAGACTCTCGTTTGCCTTGTGAATCACAAAAATTCAATTGCAAATTATATATATACATATATTTATTTTGAAATGAACGAACGTTTTTTAACTCCCTTCCTCCCTTTTTTATTTTATCACTTAATATATATATATACTAAACAAAATTGTGCGTGAAACAAATTACACTTTTTTATAAAAATATTTTTATTTATTTATCATATTTTATTTTTATTCTTTATATATTTTATTTTTATTTATATACCATAATACCAAGGTTAAATATATTTTTAATGTAAAAAAATTTAATATTCAAGTTTTTATATTAAACTGAAAAAATATTATATTTATTAAAAATCGTTTATCGGCTTAAAGAGTGAAAATAAATCATAAACTGTCATTCAGAGGGCCAAAAATATATTTGATGCGTCACGATGTGTCAAAATTATAATAAATTTCAAAAGACATATTTTAATTAGATATTGAGTTTGGTCCTTGACATTGTTTAGTAACAAATTTAATTTTTTTTGTAATTTTAGTTTTAGTTAAATGAAATATTAATTTATAAATTATAATTCATTCTTCATAGTACACACTTTCAAAATACAGATATGCTTTCACAATATTTGTTCTCCTCTAGACAAAAAAAAAATAACAATTTTTTTTTATATTAAACCACTAAAGAAAATTTAATACTTGAAAATTGAGACAACATTGAGACTGCTCTTATGGTTTTTAAGAAATAAGTTACATATTATGTTGTAATGAATTCAACGTGAAAAATTAATTTCTGTGTTTACAAACAAAAAGAGACGCACTTATATTCGTAAAAATTTTAATTTCTTTTTTATGCAAATTAGAGAAACAAATTGTCATGGTGAAACTTGTCCCCGTACAATTTATAAAATTAGAAATGATGTTTTTACTAAAATACATAGTAATTAGTTTATTTAATATTGTCATTTTCTTATTGTTTAAGGGGTTTCCTAAATTTTTTTGCCCTAAAATAGAAGGTTTTTAAAAGATCGTGTACTCATAAGTTTTAAAATATAATTGATCAAAAGTTTTTACATGTTACTATATACGTCAAGAACTATTTAAAAAAAAATTGCGATCTTAAAAAATATTATTATGCTCCTTCTACAGAGGTCGCTATGTACACTGGTCAAAATCAAGGTCCTTTACGGTAACCACTGTAGCTCATCGCAGAATCATCTAAAATAAAAAAATCAAACGTGATTTTGAAGTTTAAGACCTAATACAGGTCCTAAACCTCGAGATATTAAAAAAAAATCAAAAATTAAAAAAATGGCAAGCTTTCGAACCCAAAAAACTGAAAAAACACCATTTTTTTGACAATCAATCACTCACAAAAACCTGATTATTGAATATTTTAAATATATTAGAGGTTTAGGACCTGCAAAAACTTCCACTGAATCGAATGCAACTTGAATTTTTGAAATCGGTCAAACGGTTTTTGAGTTCTACTGGTTACCATTTTTAAATATAGTGTTTTGAGAAAAAACCGTTTAAAGTTTTGATATCAAAAGGTTATAATGAGTCAAGCAGAAGTAACTAAATCAGCTTGAAAATTCTTACTCAGGGGTTTTTGGAGTCGCTGATTACGAATATGATGTCAGATTTTAAAAATTCAAAATGGCGGATCCAATATGGTGGACGAAAATTTTAAAACTAATCGGATTTGCTCGAAAATGATGAAATGATATGAATATGATGAATTGTCCTTACTGGGTCCATGACCATGTCGGGTTTATTATCAGCAAATCAAAAAACCTTTTTTATATTTGAATTTTCGAATTCTGTCATCATATTCGTAATCAGCGACCCCATAAACCCTTTGAGTAAGAATTTTGAGCCAATCCAAGCATTTTTTAAATTTGTCCGCCATCTTGGATCCGCCATTTTGAGTTACCCCCAAGTAGTAAATTTCAATCAAATCCAAGCATTTTTTAAAAACTCGTCCGCCATATTGGATCCGCCATTTTGAAATTTGAAAAATGGACACCGGATTCGTAATCAGCGACCCCATAAACCCCCGAGTAGGACATTTCGAGCCAATCTAAACACTTT